ATAAGCCGCTTCAAACGTCATTCTAGAGAATTTGGCAGTACGTCCAACCGGCCTCACAACCACGTGTAACCATGCCAGCCCAGGACCTCCACATCTGGCTTCTTCACCTGCGGGATCGTCTGAGACCAGCCGCCCGGACAGCTGATGAAACTGGGAGTTTGCACAACTGAAGGATTTCTGCACAAACTGTCAGAAACCGTCTCAGGGAAGCTCATCTGCGTGCTAGTCATCCTCAACAGGGTCTTGACCTGAATGCAGTTCGGCGTCATAACCGACTTCAGTGGGAAAATGCTCACCTTCGATGGCCAATGGTATGCTGGAGAAGTGTGCTCTTCACGGATGAATCCCGGTTTCAACTGTACCATGCAAATGGTAGACAGCCTGTATGGCATCGTGTGGGTGAGCGGTTTTCTGATGTCAACGTTGTGAACAGAGTGCCCAATGGTGGCATTGGGATTATGGTATGGGCAGGCATAAGATATGGACAACGAACACAATTGCATTTTATTGATGGAAATTTGAAGGCACAGAGATGCCGTGACGAGATCCTGAGGCCTATTAACGTGCCATTCATCCGCCGCCATCAACTCATGTTTCAGCATGATAATGCACGGTCCCATGTCGCAAGGATCTGTACACAATTCCTGGAAGCTGAAAATGTCCCAGTTCTTCTATGGCCTGCATATTCACCAGACATGTCACCCATTGAGCATGTTTGGGATGCTCTGGATTGATGTGTACGACAGCGTGTTCCAGTTCCCCACCAACATCCAGCAACTTCACACAGCCATTGAAGAGGAGTGGGACAACATTCCAAAGGCCACAATCAACAGCCTGCGCAAAGAAGATGTGTCACGCTGCATGAGGCAAATGGTGGTCACACCAGATACTGACTGGTTTTCTGATCCATGCACCTACCTTTTTTTTTAAAGGTATCTGTGACCAACAGATGCATATCTGTATTCCGAGTCGTGAAATCCATAGATTAGGGCCTAATTAATTTATTTCAATTGACGGATTTCCTTATATGAACTGTAACTCGTTGAAATTGTTGCATGTTGTGTTAATATTTTTGTTCAGTGTAGTTATAGTAGGTCATTGAATAATCCAGTATAACTTTAGATTACTTTATGTTTGATATGCAGCTGCTGCTACAGTATGTTCTTTATTAGAGAACTGTGATTAGTGTTATACAGTAGGCAGAGTAACAGTAACCCTGCTGCCTCCGTTAGATAAGGCATTCAGCGCTGTCGTTCAAGACTGATCAAGCAGCTTCTGTAGTTGGAGGAGTACAACAGTCCCCTTAAGGATGGAGGGTTGTGTGTGTGTGTGTGTGTGTGTGTGTGTCTTTGTGTGTGTGTGCGTGTGCATGTATGTGTTATAGCTGGGCGATATGGACAAAAATCCATATTGCGATAAATTGCCTGAATTTATGTGATAATGATTAACATTAATAACATAAATATGCACCACAGTTTTTTTCAAGTGCTAGCTGTGCCACTAGAGATCCTGGTTCTAATCCAGGCTCTGTCGTAGCCGGCCGCGACCGGGAGACCCATGGGGCGGCGCACAATTGGCCCAGCGTCGTCCAGGGTAGGGGAGGGAATGGCCGGCAGGGATGTAGCTCAGTTGGTAGAGCATGGCGTTTGCAACGCCAGGGTTGTAGGCATCAATTGTCCCATTAACAATCACCCATATTAGCAAACTTATTTAGTTTCAAACGTCACATTTCTCTAGTATAGGCTACTTATCATAATGAATGAAATCAGCAAAATGCCTGCGATAAGTGATCGGTGTGGTCGATGTTGATCATTTTTGGTTTATCGTCCCAGCTATAGTGTGTGTATGTGTGTGTGTCTCACTTGTCATCACACACACATACAGTTATTAAGACAGATCTTTTTTTTTATGCTGCTGCTACTCGCTGTTTATTATCTATGCATAGTCACTTTTACCCCTACCTACATTTACATATTACCTCAATTACCTCGACTAACCTGTACCCCTGCACATTGACTTGGTACCGGTACCCCCTGTATATAGCCTTGCTATTGTTATTTTATTGTAATTTCTTTTTGTAAATTTTTCTTAAAACTGCATTGTTGGTTAAGGGCTTGTAAGTAAGCATTTCACGGTAAGGTCTACACCTGTTGTATTCGGCGCATGTGACAAATAAAATGTGACTTGATTTGAGATGCTTCACTGTAACATGTCCTTTGTCTTCTAATCTCATGTTCAGCGGTTACTTTACACTACGAAGTTCACTCTGTAAAATTCAAGGAAATTATTCTACTTCCTAATAAACAATGGTTTGTTTTCCCAAGATTATAAATGGCACCTCAATGTCAAAATGACACCCTATTCACCCAAATCTGTGTCATTTTGGATTACTTACTTAGTCCTCTTTGTCCCGGGTGAGAAATAAGGCTGCAACAACCTTCTACCACTGGAGTCTTTGGCCACAGATTGAGCCCTGTTTGTGGCCCATTTAGGATGCTACCTAGCTAAACCTCCACCTGCCTTGACCTCAGGTAACTCTACCCAGAGAGAGGTGTGCCTGGGTCTGGGTCGGAGCAAGGTAAGCCCTGCGGTGTGGTGGTGCTGGGTCTAGCTGAGTCCTCCCTCAGCCCAGGATCCAGGGGTTTATCTTACACCTAAAGGGCCGTGCCTCTTTGAAGATGGTGTTTGTCTGCTGTACAAACCAACCTTACCTGATTACTACAGCTGCAGGTCTTGGACTCTGCACACACACACACACACACACGGATCTGATTACCGCAGTAGTGTGGAGAACGAGCTGAGACAGTCTAAAGTTTGATTTGTAGGGAAAGACACTGGCAGCTACATAAACCCTGACACCACACACTCTTTGTCTAGGTTTGATCTCGACACACACACACACACTTCTTCACATCCCAAATGGAACCCTATTCCCTACATGGTGCACTTCTGACCAGAGCCCGTCAAAAGTAGTGCACTATATAAGGGATAGGGTGCCATTTGTGACACATACTTTTTCTTTGTTTGCTCTCGACACACACTCTTTGTCTAGGTTTGTTCCCGACCTAGATAAAGGAGGAAAGGTATATTTGTCCTGTGTGTGCACCCTGAAAGCATATTACCAATTCAAGGCACTTTCATACCTGACAACAATGCCTTCAACCACAAATCCTCATGCTTTGTCTAAAGCAACAGTTTTCCCTCTGCAGCTAGTCTGACTTGCTAATACTGTGAGATTATGATATCCAATCCTTTTTAAATTGTTGAAAAGTGTTATGGTATTCTTTGAGTCCAGATAAGTAAATAAGGTGTTAGAATAGATATCATTTACATCTCTTTACACCTGTCTGATAAACACAGATATCAGCCTGTCTGATAAACACAGATATCAGCCTGTCTGATAAACATAGATATCAGCCTGTCTGATAAACGTAGATATCAGCCTGTCTGATAAACGTAGATATCAGCCTGTCTGATAAACATAGATATCAGCCTGTCTGATAAACACAGATATCAGCCTGTCTGATAAACATAGATATCAGCCTGTCTGATAAACATAGATATCAGCCTGTCTGATAAACACAGATATCAGCCTGTCTGATAAACATAGATATCAGCCTGTCTGATAAACGTAGATATCAGGCGTTTTGCTTTACACAGTATAAAGTCACAGTAATTGCTCTTATTTCACATGCTTTGAAAAGCTCTTCATGTATAATTTCCTCTTTCAGTGTTTATTTAGATTAAGTCAATGCATCAGATAAAATTAGTATTTGCCTTAGTTGCTGCAGTACTGCTACAGTACTGTTTTATCAGATGGACAGATTAGTTCTATACAGAGGTATTTTTCAGCCATTATTAGCTTCTTCTCCTCCTTCTCTCTGCTCTCCTCCTCTCCTCCTCTCATATCTTCCCATTTATCTGTGTCACTTTGAGATGAGAAACACAGCTAACTACCAGACCAGCCTAGAGGTGTGATCATCATCGTCATGGAAACAGGGTATATGCCCTTGGCGATATCACCACCATTCAATTCATTCATGTGTTCACCATGGCTATGTCTGAAATGGCATCCTGTTCCCTGTGTAGGACCAGGCTTCTGCTGTTCAGTAGTCTGGAGAGAAGGGTTGGTTTGATCCATTTTCACACACAAAAAAAACAAGTAAAGCGCTTAATCATATAATTCAGAGCCAACAACTGCCACTCCAGTTTTACCTCAAAGTTGTTTATTTTCCCAGAACGTACAGTAAATGAGCCCAGGGTCCTACTCTTACTGTGAGGGCCGTTACACTCAATCAACACCCTCCCTGTGTTTCTGGTTGTTTGAGTCAGCTGTGATGTTAGTTGACAGCAACTTCCCAAGAGACAGCCCAGTTCAAAGCACGCAAAGTACAGAGAGGGAAAGAGGAATAAAGAGAGAGAGAGCAAGAAGAAGAACGAGAGAAAGTGTGAGAGAGAGAGAGAGAGAGAGAGAGAGAGAGAGAGGGTGTCAGAGGGAGTCAGAGGAACAGAACAGTGTCGGGGAGATTGACTGTAGAGGAATCTGGGCTCAGGAAAGTACTAATTGTAGACAGGCAGGCCTGGACTCCTCCAACTCCTCTACGTATGCACACACACAAACACAACCACACTCCTCTACCACAGTCGACTACACTGCACCGGCTCCTTTCAACCAGACACGGAAACAGAGCGATGCCTTCAGGCTTCTAGTCTTTACATTTATATTCTGTACATGTTACAGAATAACATCCCCTCAAATATACCATACTGTAATTCAGGTGCTTTAAGTGGTGGAAATGACTAGTGTTGAGTTGAGTGCCAGCTAGTGGCTCAATGTGCAGTCATTTAGCTCTGTCATCAGAAGTAATTGTAGTTGAAATGTGGGTTATTACAAATTCAACTCAATAGTTACATCAGACAGTATCCAGCTGTGAAACTAACTGAAACAAGAACGTTATGTATAACATCTTCCTGTGTTTCCTCTCCTCTCCTCCACAGCTCCAGTATTCTACTTCGGAGACACAGACTACCATGTGGATGAGAGTGATGGTTATGTGGAGGTCAAGGTGTGGAGAACAGGCACTGACCTCTCTAAAACAGCCACGGTCACTGTACGCTCCAGGAAAACAGACCCTGTCTCTGCTGAAGGTAGATACAATACAACACAATACAATACAACACAATACAATACAACGCAACACAACACAATACTATACAACGCAACACAACACAATACTATACAACACAATACTATACAACGCAATACAACACAATACAATACAACACAATACTATACAACGCAATACAACACAATACAATACAACACAATACTATGCAACGGAACACAATACAGCACACTGTATGTCTATGACAGCACACTGTCTGCTGAAAGTAGGTGTCCCAGTCCATGTCCCTACAGTACAACACACTGCTCTCACACAGGGGACTGTACTACAATAAAATGTATTTGTGTTACAGCACACTGGCTTTACCGCTGTATTTAAAGAGTCATATAGAGCTTAGGAAAAGGTTAACCAGGTGGAACAATAGGCTTTAGTCCACCTCAGGGTTAGTCTGTCTGTCTGTCACTCTAGTGTTGTGGAAGCAGAAAGAACGCCCAGAGCAATGCAGGCTGGATTTGTTGGGATGTTATATGACCATTGGTCGAGAGGGGAAGGGCTCTGCTCAGCCCCAGTTGCATCCTAAATGGTACCCTATTCCTTTTGTAGTGCACTGCTATTGACCAGGACCCATAGCGGATAGGGTGCCATTTGGTATTGAACCCCAGTCTGGTGACTGTTGAAAAGTACAGAGGAGGGTAGGCCTACAGGGTTGGGAGAGACAGGGTTGGGAGGGACATGGTTGGGAGGGACATGGTTGAGAGGGACAGGGTTGGGAGGGACAGGGTTGGGAGGGACAGGGTTGGGAGGGACAGGGTTGAGAGGGACAGGGTTGGGAGGGACAGGGTTGGGAGGGACAGGGTTGGGAGGGACAGGGTTGAGAGGAACAGGGTTGGGAGGGACAGGGTTGGGAGGGACAGGATTGGGAGGGACAGGGTTGGGAGGGACAGGTTTGGGAGGGACAGGGTTGGGAGGGACAGGGTTGGGAGGGACAGGGTTGGGAGGGACAGGGTTGAGAGGGACAGGGTTGAGAGGGACAGGGTTGGGAGGGACAGGGTTGGGAGGAACAGGGTTGGGAGCAGTGTTGGTGATAAAGCTGGATTGAGTGAAGACAGAGGAATGTAGACTGAATCCCTCACACACTCTAGTGTTTAAGTCTGGATAGAGAGTATTTATATAGCTCCTGGAACTAAAACCTTCTCCCTGCCTGCAGCCTTCTTCATATCGCCTGCCCCCGAGCACTCATCTCTCTCTCTCGCTCTCTCTCACTCACTCCTCCTTCCCCCTCACTCCTCTCTCTCCTCCTCCCCTCCTCCCTCCCTCATCCTCCCTTTCTATCTCCCTCCCTCTCTCTCTCTCTCACTCCCTCTCACTCCTTAATTTTCTCTTCTCCTGCCTGCAGCAAAATATTGTTTCTATCCCATCTAATCTGTTGAGACTCAGTGGTAATGCATTCCCAAGCAGACACACATACTGTAGCTTTATAATACAGTCCCAAGTGGAGGGACACACAAAGCTGGTTCAGAAACACATAGCTGGGTCTGTGGGTCAGACGTCCATAGCTAGGGTTGGTCCTGAATGGCACCCTGTTCTCTATATAGGTCACTACTTTTGATCCGGGTCCAAAGGTGTATATATAGGGAATAGGGTGCCATTTGGGACGCACACTAGGTCAGAGGTACAGGAAGCAGTCAGGTGGGTAAAGGCCATGCCATCAACACCCTGCCTCTTCACAGCTCTGAGTGGATGAAGAACATGTTTACACCCTCCAGGTGGCCTAGGGAGATATCAAATGTCTCACACTACTGCAGCCTTAATCCTGACACAGATTCCTAGTGCTCCCGCACTGCTATGTACTGTTGAGAGGAAGCAACATTTGATCAACATGTTGTGGTATTTCCATTCATCTAACTCACCGCTACTGATGTTACTCGTGTGAATTATAGAGTCATAGGAGATCTAAGCCCATATGTATCAAGTGTCTCAGAGTAGGAGTGCTGATCTAGGATCAGTTCTGCCTTATAGATCATAATGAATAAGATAATTTAAAGACAGGGAGGACCTGATCAGAAATCAGCACTCCTACTCTGAGACACTTACAGCCCCTGGTGTTAAAATAACATCAAATACTTTAATCCCCTCATCCCTCTCCCCTCATCCCTCTCTCTTCTCTCGCTCCTCTAGCCGGTGTGGACTACATGGGTATCAGCAGGAACCTGGACTTTGCCCCGGGGGTCAGCCAGCAGACGTTCAGGGTGACCATCCTGGATGACCTGGGTCAGCCAGTGCTGGAGGGGACCGAGACATTCGAGCTGGTCCTCCGCATGCCCATGAACGGCATCCTGGGAGAACCGGGGAAGGCCACCATCCTCATCAACGACTCCGTCTCCGACCGTGAGTGAATCGTGCTGATATTTCTGCGTCCCAAATGCCACCCTATTCCCTATATAGTGCACTACTTTTGACCAGGGCCCATCGGCTCTGGTCAAAATTAGTGCACTATATGAGGAATAGGGTGCCATTTGGGACACAGTCCTAGTCACAACGTATCTGACTGTGAGTGAACCTATCTGATTTGTTAGAATGTGTCTAATTATCAATGAAATATAATATAGATTAAAACTAGCACTGGCATTTCATTCAGGAGTTTAGAAACCAATCATACCTTGGTCTGACAAAACAGGGCATCTCCGAAACACATTAACACCAATAAAGACGATTGACCAATGCTGCCACTTAAAGCTTACAGTATCACGTTACTGTAAGTGTCCTTATAAATGCATTCATAAAGCCTTTATAAAGGGTTTATAGTGCACTATAAGATCAGATGTAGACAGTTATGAGAATTATGTCATGGTTATGATCAACACTGTTTCTCGATGCACTTTATTTAATGTAGATGATTTCTTTATGTGATTGTCCTCTAACAGTGCCCAAGGTGCAGTTCCGTGATGCCATGTACATGGGGCATGAGAACTCAGGTCAGATCTCAGTCGTGGTGTATCGTAGTGGAGACATCAGTTACAAGTCAACGGTCCGCTGTTACACCAGACAGGGCACCGCTCAGGTCATGATGGACTTCAACGAACGACCCAACACAGACGCTTCCATCATCACCTTCCTACCAGGTAACACTGAAAGCAATTCTGTAAAAGACTGTAGAAGACTGTCACAAGGAACACCTCGTAGGCCAAAAGGGTATAGTTTCTCTGCGCATTTTGGAATCGTTTGGAATATTTGTAAAATATTTTTCAACAACTGGTTACTCCTTTTCGCTAATCTCTCTCGATCTCAATCTCTCTCTCTCTCTTCCTCCTCCCATCTCCATCTCTCTATCCCTCCCCTCTCTCCAGGGGAGGTGGAGAAGCCATGTGTTCTGTCCCTTGTTGATGACACGGAGCATGAGGATGAGGAGGAGCTGAGGCTGGTATTGGGGTCGCCCTGCAGTGAGTCTCCGTTCGGAGCGTCCATCGGGAAACAGAACGAGACTCTGGTCAAGATCAAGGACGACGCAGACAGTAAGACTGACTGACTCATAGATGTAATAATTTCATCTGTAGACAATAAAATAAGTAGCACACTCTATAATAGTCCCAGATACATATTGCATTACTTTCTTTATTTTCTAAAATTCATAATCTGCTTCTTAACTTGTTTTGGGTGTGTGTCTTCAACTCATTCTACTCTGTTAGTCTGTAACCTTGTTTAGTTCATATTACATTTCACACTGCTCCATGTCTGACTCTGTGACTCCCATCCATGTTATCCCCAGAGGCCATCATCAAGTTTGGGGAGACTAAGTTCAGTGTGAGTGAGCCTAGCGGGGTAGGCCAGGTGTCCCTGGTGAAGATCCCAGTGCTGAGGGTAGGAGATACCTCCAAGGTCTCTGTGGTCCGCGTCCACACCAAGGACGGATCAGCCACCTCCGGAGAGGACTACCATCCTGTGTCTGAAGGTGAGAAATATTACAACATCTCACACATCAACATCTCACAACCTCTCACATCAATAAGGCCATGAGTTTTTCTTGACAATGTGATCTGATTAGGAAAAGATCCTGACGCTACTACTATGGAAATAATCATCTTGATAAGGTAACTCAGTCAGTATCTGCAGTGTATAGATGTTTCCTGTCTAACCTAGTGGGTTCGATCCCCGGGACCACCCATACGTAAAAATGTATGCGCACATGACTGTAAGTCACTTTGGATAAAAGCGTCTCCTAAATGGCATATTATTTATTATTAACCTAGAGCCGTGTTGTTGTTGTTGTTTACCCCAGACATTGAGTTCAAGGAGGGTGACACAGAGCACTTCATCGAGGTGGAGATCTTGTATGATGGAGTCAGAGAGATGAGAGAAGCCTTCACTGTCCACCTGAAACCTGATGAGAACATGGTGGCTGAGACGCAGGTGAGGACTGGAACAATAATATCACATACTGTAGACTCAGCAATATGACATTGACACAAGTAGCAGGATGAACCGAGAATACTGCAGATAAGCACGATGCACTCACTCATAGTATTTGCGCATGTGCTTCACTTACCTTCAACGTGATAGCTGCGCGACAAGAACAAGAGAGAAGTTTAGTTGTTGCGTTAGTCGTGTAGTTTACGTCGTGCATCACTACCTTTAACAACACTTTTATGTTTGATCTGTTATTTTCTGTCCGTCCACAGATGAGTAAGGCCATTATCTACATAGAGGAGACCAACAGCATGGCGGACGTCACCTTCCCCTCCATCCCACAGGTGTTCTCCCTACTGCAGTATGATGACACCTCCAGAGCCAGACACACCCACCCGGTGGGAGGCTACCCCGTTGTCTGTGTCACGGTACGGAGAATGGTTTATCAGGGGCTTTTAACCTCCCAGTCCAGGTGTTTGTCCCAAATGGCACCCTATTCTCTGTTTAGTGCACTACTTTTGACCAGAGTCGCATAGGGAAGCCATTTAAGACATAGACCAAGGCATCATTGTATTCACTGTCTGCTCTTAATTTGCCTAAAAAACTAAGTAGTTTCTTTGGCTTAGGAATATGTCAATTACGATTCAATTAGGATTTCATTTGATATTGAAGCACAGATGAGTGATGTTGATGAACAATGCTAATTAACCCTTGGACTACATTACAGTATATTTAGCCTCATTCCCAAACACTGTCTCCTCTCTCCTCCCTCTCTCACCCCTCCCTCCCTCTCTCAGGCTTGTAACCCTAAGTACCCTGACTATGACAAGACTGGCTCCATCTGCATCAGCGAGCACATCAATGACACGCTGACACGCTACCGATGGCTGGTCAGTGCTCCAACCAGCCTGGACGGGGTCACTAGCTCCATGAGAGAGGTGGACTTTAATACCTTCTTCTCCTCCTCCAAGATCATCACCTTGGACTCTGTCTATTTCCAGGTAGAGAACACATTATCAGTGAACTGAGTGTGAATTTGGACTGACTCAGTCAAAGAGTTGAACCTCTGAAAATACATAAAGTAAATCATTGAGTTCATGATGGGATTGAGTTGACTGTATTGATGTGATTGAGTTGACTGTATTGATGTGATTGAGTTGACTGTACTGATGTGAGATGCCCACCACTGCTAAGTGAATGATCCAGTTGACTGTATTGATGTGAGATGTGTGTCCCTCCCTCCAGGCTGGCTCTAGGGTGCAGTGTGCAGCCCGGGCTGTGAACTCTAACGGAGATGAGGGCCTGGAACTCAGCAGCTCCATAGTCTCCATCAGTATAGAGGATGGTATGTGCCAGCCTCGTGTGGTGGGTACAGTGGGTGCTGAGCCCTTCTCTGCCAAGCTACGCTACACCGGTGCAGAGGACCCAGACCACCCCAACCTCATCAAAATCACTGTCACCATGCCACACATAGACGGTGAGGAACACAGAGACTTCTAGCTTCTCTCTCGTTCTCTATTTCTCTTGCTCTCTATTTTTCACACTCTCTTTCTCTCTCTATGTCGCTCTGTCTTTCTTTCTCTCTCACTCTCTATTTCTCTCTCCTAACCCCTTGTCTCCCCTCTCCTCTCTCCTCTCCTTTCCAGGCATGCTCCCCGTGGTCTCCACCCGTCCTATGTCTAACTTTGAGCTGACGTTGAGTCCTGATGGGACTCGTGTGGGGAACCACCGCTGTTCTAACCTGCTGGACTACACCGAGGTCAAGACCCGCCATGGCTTCATCACCGACGCCACCAAGAACCCTGAGGTGATTGGGGAGACCTCTCCCTACCAGTACAGCGCCCTCCTGAGGGGATCCAGTGTACTGCGCTTCTACAAGAACCTCAACCTAGAGGCCTGTCTATGGGAGTTCACTAGTTACTATGACATGTCTGAGCTACTGTCAGACTGTGGAGGGACCATCGGTACAGACGGACAGGTGAGAGAGCAGTGTGTGTGTGGGGGGACACTATCAGAACAGACAGACAGACAGGAAGGTGAGCTGCCCCACCCCACAATCCCACCAGACCCCTGACCAATTGCAAAATAAGTATGGGAGAGGAGTTATGATGATTTCTTGGGAAGAGGTGTTATGATGATTTCTTGGGAAGAGGTGTTATGATGATTTCTTGGGAATAGATGTTATGATGATTTCTTGGGAAGAGATGTTATGATGATTTCTTGGGAAGAGATGTATTGAGGATTTCTTTGGAAGAGAAATGTACTTGCTCAGTATTTGACCTCCAGTTCTTTCCTATAACAGTTCTTGTAATTTTCCTTTTCACAGACAGAATCCTTTACAGTCACCTGTCTGTTAGCTACCCCTTGAGGGGCCCCTGTCAGACATTGTTCTTTTAAACCCCATGTTAACCTCACCAGTAATAACTAACCAAACACAGTGCTTTATGGATTCCCACAACTCCTCATGAGGCCTGCTATTTATCTTGTCAAAATGGCATCTTCAACATTCAAAGCATTAAAATCTTCTGCTCTTTTCTGTACTGTGCTCTTTAAACAGCTGCTGCTGCTGTGTTGAGGGAGGGACTGCTCTTACAGGTCTTAAACTCCCTCCCTACTTCCCTCTCTCTCTCTTCCTCCCTCCCTCCCTAACCCTCCCTGAGTGGAGATCTTAAACCCTGGTCACATGCTTCAGTGCTCCTGTCATGTAGATTTCCCTTGGAAACCTCCAGTCACTTCAGTGTAGTTAAATCCCAGTCAGTCTATTAGTTCACTAGCACATAATTAAGCAGGCTGCGGTCATAAAGAGATGCCTGCAGAGAGAAGAGATGCCTGCAGAGAGAAGAGATGCCTGCAGAGAGAAGAGATGCCTGCAGAGAGAGAGAGATGCCTGCAGAGAGAGAGAGAGAGATGCCTGCAGAGAGAGAGAGATGCCTGCAGAGAGAGAGAGAGATGCCTGCAGAGAGAGAGAGATGCCTGCAGAGAGAGAGAGATGCCTGCAGAGAGAGAGAGATGCCTGCAGAGAGAGAGAGATGCCTGCAGAGAGAAGAGATGCCTGCAGAGAGAGAGAGATGCCTGCAGAGAGAAGAGATGCCTGCAGAGAGAAGAGATGCCTGCAGAGAGGAAAATATGCCAGCAGAGAGAGAGAGATGCCTTCAGAGAGAGAGATGCCTGCAGAGAGAAGATGCTGCAAGAGAGAAGAGAGGTGCCTGCAGAGAGAGAGAGATGCCTGCAGAGAGAAGAGCCTGCAGAGAGAGAGATGCCTGCAGAGAGAGAGATGCCTGCAGAGAGAAGAGATGCCTGCAGAGAGAGAGATGCCTGCAGAGAGGAGGAGAGAGAGAGATGCCTGCAGAGAGAGAGAGATGCCTGCAGAGAGAAGAGATGCCTGCAGAGAGAGAGAGATGCCTGCAGAGAGAGAGATGCCTGCAGAGAGAGAGATGCCTGCAGAGAGAAGAGATGCCTGCAGAGAGAGAGATGCCTGCAAGAGGAAGAAGAGATGCCTGCAGAGAGAGAGAATGCCTGCAGAGAGAGAGAGATGCCTGCAGAGAGAATAGATGCCTGCAGAGAGGAAGAGATGCCTGCAGAGAGAGAGAGAGATGCCTGCAGAGAGAAGAGATGCCTGCAGAGAGAAGAGATGCCTCCAGAGAGAAAAGATGCCTGCAGAGAGAGAGAGAGCAAATGGTTAAGGCCTCCTCACGCTATTGATCCCCCCTGCTGTAGCTCATCAACTAGTACCCTTGCTGTGGTGTGTGTGTGTGGTGTGTGTGTGTGTGTGTGTGTGTGTGTGTGTGTGTGTTGTGTGTGTGTGTGTGTGTGTGTGTGTGCATGCGTGCGTGCGTGCGTGCGTGCGTGCGTGTGTGTGTGTGTGCGTGTGTGTGCGTGTGTGCGTAAAGGAAAGGAAAGGAAAGTGCATGTAGAATTTATGAGAGGCTAACTACTTACCCAATTTAAGGTTATGTATATTGTTTGGTTGAAAAAACACCAACTCAATGAAATATCATTAAATTCTATGTAAAGTGAAATTCCATTTTGCAAGATAAATGAGACTGTAAATGGAAGAAGATATTGCATGTGAACATGGATGAGTTATGATACATAGGACGTATAAGATAATTATATTTTATGGAGGCAGTGATCATCATTCTCTTCTAAAGTAAACTACCTCCACACTTTATGACTTTCCTTCTGGCAGCTTGTAATCCAGCGTTAGCCTCTTTGTTTACGTTGAAACTTTTTAAAGTTAATATTCTGACAGGACAGAGCTTTGTGGGAGAGGTTGGAGTTGATCAACACTTGATAATCCTGAATGTCAGGGTCTGCCTTAGTACCATGTACCAACACTGGTTTACCTTGGTCAATGTCCCTCCTATGTGCAGATTTTATGTACTGTTCTAGTCACTGGCAGCCATTTGATAACAGACTGATTTGTTTTAAGTATCACTGTATATGTGTCCCAAATGGCACACTATTCCCTTTTCACTATTCTCTTTTTATTATAATGCATTACTTTTGACCGGGGCCCATAGGAAATAGGTTGCCATTTGATTCATAGCCAGAGACTGAGCTGCTTTAAGTGTCACTGTGTTGTTTTAAGTAAGATCCATAACTAAGAGAGAGAGTGAGACCCCGCCAGGTATTATAGACGTGTCTCTATACACCCAGAAACCCTATACCCCTACTGCAGTGTCTGCCTGTGCACCTGTGTCACATCCATATGAGCTGTCCTACAGGTGAGTTGTACTGTAAGCTTCAATCAGTGTGGCCAGGCAGAACAAACATAAAGACTCAACAACAGCTCTAGTCTAGAGGAACATTATTTGTGTCCCTGTGTTCTCTCTGACCTGATTGGCCCTTAAGGGTCCGACCGACTGGGAGGCTGGGGGGGCTGAGTAGAGAGGTTGAGGGGTACAGAGAGACTGAGTCAGACTGAGCTTGGGGCCCCAGGCTGGCCTCTCACTGTGCTGGGACTGACGCTGTCTCTCTGTGTCTGTGTGTCATGGTGAGAGGCTTTGTCCCCAGCTTATCAGACCACAGAAATCCATTAGGTCTCAGCAGGCAGTGTCAGGGTCATACAGCAAATCATCTGCCTCAGCTCTCTCTGGGTTCTACAGTTTCCCTTAACGCACGCGAAGTCGGGCCTGGCGCGCGCGCCGCGCGAAAGAGGAGTTGAGAGATCTAGCGAGAGAGAGGGAGAGAGAGGATAGAGGGGCTAAGGGGCGTGAGTGATATCCTCTTCTCCTAGGCTTTCTTTCGTTGTTCAGAATCGTTCTATCTCCTGCTCTTCTTCGCTCTCTTCTCTCTTCTCTCTCTCTCTATCTATCTCTTTTAAAAAAAAGGGGGGAAATTAAATTTTTTTTTCCCCCCAAAAAAAAGGGGGGAAAAAATTTTCCCCCTTTCCCCCCCGGGGAAAAAAGGCCCCCCGGCCCCCCCGGGAAAAAAAATTTTTTTTTAAAAAAAAAACCCCCCCCGGGGGGAAACCGGTTTTGGGGGGGGGGGAAAAAAAAAATTTTCCCCCCAAAACCCCCCCCGGGACCCAAAAAAAAAAACCCCCCCCCCTTTTTAAAAAGGGGGGGGCCCCCCAAAAAGGACCCCCAACCAAACCAAAAAAAAACCCCCAAAAAAGGGGGGAAAAAAACCCCCCAAAAACCCGGCCTTTAAAAAAACCCCCCCAGGGGGGGAAAAAAAAAAAAATTTTTTTAAAAGGGGAAAAACCCCCTTGGCCCCCCCCCCAAAAACCAATTAAAAAAAAAAGGGGGGGGGGAAAAAAAAAAAAAAAAACCCCCCCCGGGGGGGGAAAAACGGGGAAAAAAAAAATTTTTGGGGGAAACAAAAAAAAAGGGAAGGGTTAAAAAATTTTAAGGCGGTTTTTGGGGGGGGGGGGGGGGGGAAAAAAAGGTTTTTAAAAAGGGGAAAAAGGGGGGGGTTTTTTTAAAATTTTTGGGAAAAAAAAAAAAACCCCCTCCCCCCCAAAAAGGGGAAAAAAAAAAAAAAAAAGGGGAAGGGGGGTTTTTGGGGAAATTTTTTGGGGTTTTTGGGGGAAAAAAAACCCCAAAAAAAAAAAAAAAAAATTAAAAAAAAAAAACCCCCCCCAAAAAACCCCCCCCGGGGGGAAAAACCCCCCCGGGGGAAAAAATTTTTAAAAAAGGGGCCCCCCGGGGGTTTTAAAAAAAAAAAGGAGGGGGGAAAAACCCCCGGGGAAGGGGTTCCAATTCCCCCCCAAAGGGGGAAAAAAAACCCCAAAAAAAAAAAACCCGGGGGGGGGGAAAAAAAGGGGGTTCCCCTTGTTTTTTTTGCATGGCCAGGCACGACCCCCCATTTTAATTTGGGGACAAAATTTTTTTTTCCCCCGACAAAAAAAAAGGGGGGGAAAAATTTGGGGGGGGGCCCCCCCCCCCCCCCAAAAAACCAAAAAAAAAATTTTAAAAAAAAAAAAGGGGGCCCCCCCTTTTTGGGGGGGTAGTGGGAAAAAGGGTTAAACTTCAAGTTCCTTGGTGTTTCCCCATCACCAAGGGAAATATTTGGTTTCCAAAACACCAAGCCGTCGTGAAGAGGGCACGACAAAAACCCATTCCCCCCAGGAGAAAAAAAAAGTTTTGGGAGGGGGCCTCAGATCCTCAAAAAATTCTACAGCCCCAAACCAAACGGGAGCATCCTGATGGTTCATAAACCCCCTGGTATGGCAAAATGCCTTTGGGCCCTGACCGCAAGGCACTTTCAGAGGGGAGTGCGTACGGCCCAGTACATCACAGGGGCAAAGCTCCCTGCCATCCAGGACCTCTATACCAGGCGGTGTCAGAGGAAGGCCCTCAAAATTGTCAAAGACTCCAGTCACCCTAGTCATAGACTGTTCTCTCTGCTACCGCACGGCAAGCGGTACCGGAGTGCCAAGTCTAGGTCCAAAAGACTTCTCAACAGCTTCTACCCCCAAGCCATAAGACTCCTGAACAGCTAATCATGGCTACCCGGACTATTTGCACTGCCCCCCCACCCCATACTTTTTACGCTGCTGCTACTCTGTTAAGTATTTATGCATAGTCACTTTAACTCTACCCACATGTACATATTACCTCAACTACCTCAACTAGCCGGTGCCCCCGCACATTGACTATGCAACGGTACCCCCCTGTATATATAGCCTCCCTACTGTCACTTTATTCTATTGTATATATAGTCTCCCTACTGTCACTTTATTTTTACTTCTGCTCTTTTTTTCTCAACACTTTTTTTGTTGTTGTTTTATTCTTACTTTTTTTGTTTAAAATAAATGCACTGTTGGTTAAGGGCTGTAAGTAAGCATTTCACTGTAATGTCTGCACCTGTTGTATTCGGCGCATGTGACCAATAAAATTTGATTTGATTTGATTTGATTTGATTTGATTTTGGCCCATTCCTCCATGCAGATCTCCTCTAGAGCAGTGATGTTTTGGGGCTGTCGCTGGGCAACACAGACTTTCAACTCCCTCCAAAGATTTTCTATGGGGTTGAGATCTGGAGACTGGCTAGGCCACTCCAGGACCTTGAAATGCTTCTTACGAAGCCACTCCTTCGTTGCCCGGGCGGTGTGTTTGGGATCATTGTCATGCTGAAAGACCCAGCCACGTTTCATCTTCAATGCCCTTGCTGATGGAAGGAGGTTTTCACTCAAAATCTCACGATACATGGCCCCATTCATTCTTTCCTTTACTCCCTTTGCAGAAAAACAGCCCCAAAGCATGATGTTTCCACCCCCATGCTTCACAGTAGGTATGGTGTTCTTTGGATGCAACTCAGCGTTCTTTGTCCTCCAAACACGACGAGTTGAGTTTTTACCAAAAAGTTATATTTTGGTTTCATCTGACCATATGACATTCTCCCAATCCTCTTCTGGATCATCCAAATGCACTCTAGCAAACTTCAGATGGGCCTGGACATGTACTGGCTTAAGCAGGGGGACACGTCTGGCACTGCAGGATTTGAGTCCCTGGCGGCGTAGTGTGTTACTGATGGTAGGCTTTGTTACTTTGGTCCCAGCTCTCTGCAGGTCATTCACTAGGCCCCCCCGTGTGGTTCTGGGATTTTTGCTCACCGTTCTTGTGATCATTTGGACCCCACGGGGTGAGATCTTGCATGGAGCCCCAGATCGAGGGAGATTATCAGTGGTCTTGTATGTCTTCCATTTCCTAATAATTGCTCCCACAGTTGATTTCTTCAAACCAAGCTGCTTACCTATTGCAGATTCAGTCTTCCCAGCCTGGTGCAGGTCTACAATTTTGTTTCTGGTGTCCTTTGACAGCTCTTTGGTCTTGGCCATAGTGGAGTTTGGAGTGTGACTGTTGTGTCGAGAAAACGTTGCTAATTATGCTGTGAAACCAAGGAGTCCGCTTATACTGTACTTTGATTATAAGTTTTATTTATATCACAAGATTTCAGCATAAGTTTACAGACGTCTGCAGCATCTGGAGAACAGTGTCCCAAAATAATATGTCTGTTCTGATCTCCTTTGTCTCAAACCAAGTATTTATAATCTTTACCAGGATATGGGTGGTTTCCCATACTGACCAATCACCTGTCTCCACACAACAGACTTCCTCTGTTCTATGGGGTGTCCCTCTAAAACTGCTCCCCCTAAAACTGAATAAACATCCTCTCAGGTTCCACTTTGAAAACATTAGCAAAGTCATAATTCCTCAGATACTACATGACTGTTTGAGGTTGTGGACAGGTGTCTTTTATACTGATAACAAGTTCAAACAGGTGCCATTAATACAGGTAACGAGTGGAGGACAGAGGAGCCTCTTAAAGAAGAAGTTACAGGTCTGTGAGAGCCAGAAATCTTGCTTGTTTGTAGGTGACCAAATACTTATTTTCCACCATAATTTGCAAATAAATTCATAAAAAATCCTACAATGTGATTTTCTGGATTTTTTTTCCTCAATTTGTCTGTCATAGTTGACGTGTACCTATGATGAAAATTACAGGCCTCTCTCATCTTTTTAAGTGGGAGAACTTGCACAATTGGTGGCTGACTAAATACTTTTTTCCCCCACTGTATATATATATATATATATCTCCCTTTCTCTCTTTCACTCTCTTTTTTTCTCTTTCTCTCTGGTTCTTTGTCTCACTGTAGTCTAACTGTTGTTTAAGGGTTCCAAGTACATTAGAACAAATCAACAGCCTGGATTGTTTGTTATGTCTTGATTGCATGATTAACTTCAGAATGGGATGGTTTTATATTCATTGTTGACAAAGCAATAATTGAATAACACAACCAAACATTCATCAGTTATAAATGTAATGGTTTGCTATTGTTGCCATATACAGTGAGGGAAAAAAGTATTTGATCCCCTGCTGATTTTGTATGTTTGCCCACTGACAAAGAAATGATCAGTCTATAATTTTAATGGTAGGTTTATTTGAACAGTGAGAGACAGAATAACAACAAAAAAATCCAGAAAAACGCATGTCAAAAATGTTGATTTGCATATTAATGAGGGAAATAAGTATTTGACCCCCTCTCAATCAGAAAGATTTCTGGCTCCCAGGTGTCTTTTATACAGGTAACAAGCTGAGATTAGGAGCACACTCTTAAAGAGAGTGCTCCTAATCTCAGTTTGTTACCTGTATAAAAGACACCTGTCCACAGAAGCAATCAATCAATCAGATTCCAAACGCTCCACCATGGCCAAGACCAAAGAGCTCTCCATGGATGTCAGGGACAGGATTGTAGACCTACACAAGGCTGGAATGGGCTACAAGACCATCGCCAAGCAGCTTGGTGAGAAGGTGACAACAGAAGGTGACATACAGCACAGCACAGTGTAGCTACACTGAGTGTGCAAAACATTAGGAACACCTTCCTAATATTGAGTTGCACCCCCTTTTGCCCTCAGAACAGACTCAATTCGTCAGGACATGGAATACAAGGTGTCGAAAGGGATACTGGCCCATGTTGACTCCAATGCTTCCCACAGTTGTGTAAAGTTGGCTTGATGTGCTTTGGGTGGTGAACCATTTTTGATTCATACGGGAAACTGTTGAGCGTGAAAAACCCAGCAGCGTTGCAGTTCTTGACACAAACCGGTGAACCTGGCACCTACTACCATACCCCGTTCAAAGGCACTTCAATCTTTTGTCTTGCCCATTCACATACACAATCCATGTCTCAATTGTCTCGAGGCTTAAAAATCCTTCTTTAACCTGTCTCTTCCCCTTCATCTACACCGATTTAAGTGGATTTAATAAGTGACATAAATAATGGATCAAAGCTTTCACCTGGATTCACCTGGTCAGTCATGGAAAGAGCAGGTGTCCTTAATGTTTTGTACACTCAGTGTATATGAAGTGGTATTATGCAGTCTACTGGTAGTTACACTCACTGATCACACTATATGCACTTAAGCACTACATAAGCCACCGTAATACCCTCTATATGTCACCTGCTATCTTTATTGCATTCTTAATCACATGAATCTATAGAATATAGATAAAGACCAAGCCATAACCATATATCAAGTTATGAGTGGGTCTGAATACTGTTCCCATGAGGTATTTGCAAGCTCCATACAGATAGGCAGCTTGTGAATGTTTAGTATAGGTCTATATATAAGTAGTACTTGGGACCTTTTGTAAGCTCCCTGCTTGTTGGATGTTTAAGTGTGTGGATGTTTAAATGCGCTTTGCAGAGTTTGATGTAATGTATGTATTTCTATCACTATCTATTTCTCTCTGTATTTCTCTTTTTATTTCGCTATCTTTCTCTCTTTCTCCCCCTCCCCCTATTTCTCTCTCTCTCTTTATTTTTCTCTCTATTTCTCTCACTATTTTCTATTCCTCTCTCCATTTTTCTCTCTATTTCTCTCTCTTTAGTTCTCCCTCTTTCTCCTGTCTTTCTGTAGGTGTTGAACCTACTATTGCTAGTATTCTGTATTACTGTAAAGTTACTGTAAAGTGTATTGATGTTAAAATGCATGTTAAATACAGATTGATTTGATATATGTCTCTCTCTAGGTGTTAAACCTGGTCCAGTCCTATGTGACCCTCCGGGTGCCCCTACATGTCTCCTATGTGTTCCACTCCCCGGTGGGGGCAGGGGGCTGGCAGCATTTTGACCTACAGTCAGAGCTACGACTCACCTTCGTATACGACACTGCCATCTTGTGGCGGGACGGCATCGGCAGCCCTCCTGAGGCTGAACTACAAGGCAAGTCTCACATCAAATTAAATATATTGAAAAGTAATTTCACTCTTTACAGAATGAGGCAAAAACAAACAAACAAATACAACACTGTCTGGTGTACTTTGAGCACAGATGATATGGTTATGTTAATTTTTCTACAGCAATGAATGAGGATGTGTTAGCTTGGTGTGACAGTTTAGCTTGGTGTGACAATGAGACCAACGGGTTGCATTCTGCAGCTGCCCTTCACCGCACCTTCCTCAGTGGGTGTGCTATAATAGTAGGGATGTGTTAGTTCAGTGTGACAGGGAGACTGACTGGCTGTATTCTGTAGGAGCCCTGTACCCCACCAGTATGCGTATCAACGAACAGGGTCGTCTGGTGGTCAACTTCAAAACAGAGGCTCGATTCAGAGGACTGTTTGTCATATCACACTCTGGTATGTTCACATTATCTACTCTTTTCATACAGTACATCCATGGGCTTGAACTAGTAGTGTCTCAGAGTGATCTTATTCATTGTGATGTAAAAGACAAAACTGATCCTAAGTCAGCACTCCTACTCTGACACGCTTGAAACTGTACATACAGTGGCTTGCAAAAGTATTCACCCCCCTTTGCATTTTAAATATTTTGTTGCCTTACAACCTGGAATTAAAATTGATTTTTTGGGGTTTGTATCATTTGATTTACACAATATGCCTACCACTTTGAAGTGTGTGAAACAAACAAGAAATAAGAAAAAAAACTTGAGCGTGCATAACTATTCAACCCCCCAAAGTCAATACTTTGTAGAGCCACCTTTTGCAGCAATTACAGCTGCAAGTCTCTTGGGGTATGTCTCTATAAGCTTGGCACATGTAGCCACTGGGATTTTTGCCCATTCTTCAAGGCAAAACTGCTCCAGCTCCTTCAAGTTGGATGGGTTCCGCTGGTGTACAGCAATCTTTAAGTCATACCACAGATTCTCAATTGGATTGAGGTCTGGGCTTTGACTAGGCCATTCCAAGACATTTAAATGTTTCCATTTAAACCACTCGAGTGTTGCTTTAGCAGTATGCTTAGGGTCATTGTCCTGCTGGAAGGTGAACCTCCGTCCCAGTCTCAAATCTCTGGAAGACTGAAACAGGTTTCCCTCAAGAATTTCCCTGTATTTAGCGCCATCCATCATTCCTTCAATTCTGACCAGTTTCCCAGTCCCTGTCGATGAAAAACATCCCCACAGCATGATGCTGCCACCACCATGCTTCATTGTGGGGATGGTGTTCTCGGGGTGATGAGAGGTGTTGGGTTTGCGCCAGACATAGTGTTTTCCTTGATGGCCAAAAAGCTCAATTTTAGTCTCATCTGACCAGAGTACCTTCTTCCATATGTTTGGGTAGTCTCCCACATGCCTTTTGGCGAACACCAAACATGTTTGCTTATTTTTTTCTTTAAGCAATGTTTTATTTCTGTCCACTCTTCCGTAAAGCCCAGCTCTGTGGAGAGTACGGCTTAAAGTGGTCCTATGGACAGATACTCCAATCTCCGCTGTGGAGCTTTGCAGCTCCTTTAGGGTTATCTTTGGTCTCTTTCTTGCCTCTCTGATTAATGCCCTCCTTGCCTGGTCTGTGAGTTTTGGTGGGCGGCCCTCTCTTGGCAGGTTTGTTGTGGTGCCATATTCTTTAAATTTTTTAATAATGGATTTAATGGTGACCGTGGGATATTCAAAGTTTCAGATATTTTTTTATAACCCAACCCTGATCTGTACTTCTCCACAACTTTGTCCCTGACCTGTTTGGAGAGCTCCTTGGTCTTCATGGTGCCGCTTGCTTGGTGGTGCCCCTTGCTTAGTGGTGTTGCAGACTCTGGGGCCTTTCAGAACAGGTGTATATATACTGAGATCATGTCACAGATAATGTTACACTTAGATTGCACACAGGTGGACTTTATTTAACTAATTATGTGACTTCTGGAAGTAATTGGTTGCACCAGATCTTATTTAGGGGCTTCATAGCAAAGGGGGTGAATACATATGCACGCACCACTTTTCCGTTATTTATTTCTTCGAATTTTTTGAAACAAGTTATTTTTTTCATTTCACTTCACCAATTTGGACTATTTTGTGTAAGTCCATTACATGAAATCCAAATAAAAATCCACTTAAATTACAGATTGTAATGCAACAAAATAGGAAAAACGCCAAGGGGGATGAATACTTTTACAAGGCACTGTATTCCGCTTCAGTTCTGTATAAACCTAGTCTTACCTGTGTCTGTACCCAGCGTCCTCTCTGTCGTCCATGGTGATGTGTGCGGATCACCCTGGGGTGACCTTTAATCTCAGCCTGGTGAGGAGCGAGCCCACCTACAACCAGCCCATGCAGCAGTGGACCTTCACATCAGACTTCGCTGTGAGGACAACATCTTATTTTCTTCTATATTTAATACTGTGTTATCAATATATTTCATATCATCTTTATTTCTTTATTTCTTTATCTGCTAACTCTGTCTTTAGTGTAAAGACTTGGGAGTAGCATATAGCATTTACAGGATTTCTTTCTTAAGTCGTAGTGTGTTATCGGCACTGGTGTAACCTGATTAAATAAAGTTTTAACCCGAGGTAAATAATTGTGTCTTACTCCCCTCTGTCTCCCAGGTGCGTGACTACTCAGGTACCTACACAGTGAAGCTGCTGCCCTGTACCTCTCCTCCCAGTCTAGAGTACTCCCTGCCTCCTGTCTGTAACCCCAGAGAACCTGTCACCTTCGACCTGGACATACGCTTCCAGCAGGTCAGATCACCCTAGGATAACTACACTATAGGTGCTATCTAGAACCTTAAAGGGTTCTTCGGCTGTAGCCATAAGAGAACCCTTTGAATAACCATTTTTGGTTGCAGGTAGAACCCTTTTGGGTTCCATGTAGAACCCTATGTAGAAAGGGTTCTACATGGAAGCCAGAAGGGTTCTACCTGGAACCAAAAAGGCTTCTACCTGGAATCAAAAAGGGTTTTCCCACGGGGACAGCCGAATAACCCTTTTGGAACCCTTTTTCTAAGAGTGTACATCAATATCATATTATTAAAAGTGTCTGTGAGATGACAATCTTTGAGTGTACACAGAGATCTACTCTAGTGGGAAACAGCTTGAGGGGTGTTGTCTGATTGTAACACTGTGATTGGTCTCTGTTCTCAGATGGTAACACTGAATGGTATGTGTTTTCCTATACTAAGATGGTAAAACTTTGTACTGTGTGTGTCCTATCCCAGGTGAGTGACCCGGTTGCGGCTGAGTTCAGTCTGAACACACAGATGTTGCTGCTTTCTAAGAGAACTCTGTGGCTGTCTGACGGATCCATGGGCTTCGGACAGGAGAGCGACACCGCATTCTCACAAGGTACTGTAACGCTACAAACAAACACAGCCTTCTTACAGGGTCATTTATCAATCAATGAATCAATCACTCACCTTATAGAAATCAGTGGCGGTCGGTGCCGTTTAAGATATGAGCCTTCTTTCTATTACAGCATATTGGATGACTGTCATTCATATTCGATTCACCCAGCTTAATGTAACATGGAAAGGTTTAGGCTACTACGTGATACTCCATGTACCCATCATGAGGTTGCTACAACCTAGCCTATGAATGAAAGTTTACAATGTAGGTGCACAGGTCGAGAGAACATTTTAAGTAATCAAGGTGACAGACAGTGACACATTCAATACTGCCTTGCACACTTTTGCCTGCATCTAGCTGATCTAGTGTGTAATCATTAGTCCAACAGTTGCAAAATAGAGTTTCTTTTGGACAATTTCAGGTGTGTTTATCCACATTTCGTTCCGTTTGCTTCCATTTAAGAAACGTTTTCAACAAAATCTACGGAATGAATACACACCTGATCACACGCAAACACAGTTCACTTTCATAGCAGCCACATACAAACAGCATAATCACTTTGCTCGTCGTATATATAATTCCATTCCATCTATCTACTTGCTCTCCTCCTCTCACCTTTTCTCCTTTGCTTGTGGACTTCAGTGCACAACACATATGGTGTCTGTGACCAGGTGAAATAACCTTTCCAAGCCTAACCTTCATATCATGACCGCTAACCGCTACACACAGCCTACATCGTTGTCACCATATTAGCTAACATCATAGTCAACATAGCTACTAGAACTAACGCGTTACTAAACCGCTATAATCATGCTGTACAGTGTACAGTCAGCAAGCAGTTTAGCAGTTACACCGGCGGGACCCGGTGGCAATAAATTAACAAAACCAAAAGCTTACCTTGACTTGGAAGAGTTCCAGTGTTGGATAGCCATAGCCAGCTATCTAACATAGCATCCCTCTCTGTTTGAGCCGGGTGTTTGAGTAGGCTAAACTAGCTAGCTGCATTTGCTATCTAAGTATGTGAACGTGAAAGTGGAGAAAAAAAATACTACGAAATATAGCTAATTCTCTCTCTCTCTTGCTCCTCCTTAATTCTTTCAGAAATGTGTTTGTTCAAAACTGTTAAACTATTGTCTTTCTCTCTTTCACAGTCTTCTCACTTCTCACACACACCACCTTCTCATGGGTCCTGATCAGAAGTAGTGCACTACATAGGGAATAGGGTGCTATTTGGGATGGAGGTAGCCCCATTGACTATCTGATTGATTGATTGATTGATTGATGTATTACTGTATTAACCCAAACCTAATCTCCTCCCAGGTGATATGATCTATGGTAGAGTGATGGTGGACCCAGTTCAGAACCTGGGAGATTCCTTTATCTGTAACATAGAGAAGGTGTTCCTGTGCACTGGTGCGGATGGATACGTGCCCAAGTACAACCCCAACAACAATGAGTACGGCTGTCTGGCTGATGCTCCGTCGCTGCTTTACAGATTCAAAATCATCGTAAGTACAGTACAGTACAGTACAGGGCCTATAGTGCTCTGGTCAAAAGTAGTGCAATATCTGGGGAATAGTGTGTCATTTGGGACGCAGACAAGGATGTAGTACAGGGTAAATGCACATGAATATCCTAAACACCTTTACCAATGTTGGTACAGTATTTACTAGTGTTTCCCTCTCCTCCCCCTCCAGGATAAGGCCCAGCCAGAGACCCAGGCCAGGTCGTTTGGTAACGTGGGGTTCAGGGCTCTGCTGGCTGTAGACGACCCTCAGGCCCTGGCCCTGGTCAGACAGCCTGGATCTGACGGCTTCAGCATGGACTCTACAGCACTGTTCCAAGTACGTCTCCCTGACCCCTACGCTACATAACACAGAAGAGTGGAGAAGGAACATCCCTGTCTTATTCCTATTTCTAACACTCTCTTTCACTGCTTTAAAGCTAGAATCATAAATGAATTATATATACCCATTGATTCTTGACGAATATAACTTATAAATGCCTTAGGAGCTTAGTTCAACTATCGTACCTCAAAACATGGTAAAAACTATAATTTTGATATCATGGATGGTCAGTCCTTGCATCCATAGCTCTGTCGATGAATTTAAAAGTGGTTACATTTCTCCAGGCCCATCCCTCAGCTTTTTACCAAAACAGAGGCGGGGTGTCGCTTGTTATTGTTTCTATTAATGACTCTAGCTTTAATGACCAGGAATTGTTCCTGTCGTGGTCAGGTAAACTTCCCAGCCCTCATGACTAACCCTGTTCCTCTGGTGTCCAGGTGTCAGCAGGGAGAGAGTGGTTCATCCACACCATCTATACCGTCCGCTCCAGAGAGAACGCCAACAGGGGCATCGGGAAGAGGAGTCTGGAGTACCACACACTCACCCAGCACAGCAGGATGGTTACAGGAGGCCACTCCCTGACCCAACACAGCAGCATGGACAGAGAAACCCAGCATCAAACTATGGCTGCAGGAGGACCGTCAATGTCCCAGTCCCAGTCTCGCTCCAGGCGGTCAGCAAACGGGGTGCCAGACCTGACAGAGGACATCGGCCTGGACAACAACCGAGGCACCAACATTCTCCATATCACACTGGACCTCAGCCGCCAGCGCCGCACCAGCCCCGACCAGGAGGTCCTCACTCAGGGTATGGTGCCCAGGGAGCTGAACCTTCCTGCGGAGAGTGAGGATGGCTTGGTCCTGATCATAGGTATCCTGGTGGGCCTCCTCCTCACCATCCTCATCATCATCGTCATAGTGCTAACCGTACGGTCCAGACAAGAGAAGAAGAAGATGGAGGTTCCCACGACAACGTCATGCTCCACTGAGCCCATGGTGACATCAGGGTTCACTAGCGGTGGCTTGGACAGCTCAGAGGTCTGACGGACAGACTTCCTTCGACATAACCACTGAGACAGACAGACAGACTGATGAACGGATATTCTCCACAGAAAAAAACCCACTTACAGATGTTTTGTTTTTTAATGTTATTTTTTTGCAAGTGCCTCATATTTTTTACATTGGGACATAAATAGAGGGAGGGGACAACTGACAACGAGAGCTTTGGTTACATACAAAAACCTACTTGAAATCCTGCAGTCCTTCTGCTCTGCTGTAGGGGAGACCATAGAGGTAAAACAATCTCTATGGGGAGACTTCCCCATCTAGGGCAGGATCTGTAACCTGTTCTGTTCAAGGCACTTGCTAGCGTTCATTATTGCTTTGTTTTATGATGTCACACTTGATCCCAACATTTTTTGTGATTTGTCCAAAGGTGCTAAAGCAGCAGATGCCTCTGTCCTGTAGGATGGATGGTGGTCCAGTGAGTTGGTAAAAGGACATGTAGCAGGGCTATTCAACTCCAGGCCTGTAGGGCAGTAGTAATGCTGGTTGTCTTTTCTACCTGGTAGTTAATTGATTGATTGATTAATGTCACTGATTGGCCAGAGAGTCCCAGGATGTAATCAGTTCCTGGTTAGAAGGAAAGAATGAAAACCAGAGTTGAATACCGGTATTCCTGATATTCAGTATTCAGTATGATCGCAAAGTTGTCATAGAACTGTCATAGTTGTTAACGTGTATGTTTGTTATCCCGTGTCAAGCCACTGTCAATAGTCTGCTAACACTGGGAATATGTCCTACTGTAATGTCCTACTGTAGCTCTCTGTCAGACCTGGGTTCAAACACTATTTGAAATCTTTCAAATATATTTGCTTTAGCCTGCCTGGACTGCCGGGTGGGACTTTTATATTGGTTCCACTGCAACAGGCAAGGTCAATTGATCACAGCTTAAGTATTTTACATGATTTAAAATAGTATTTGAACCCAGGTCTGCTCTCTATACTGAAGTATGGAGACTGATTCATGTTGAAGTTCTACAGGTGCCTAAGAATCCACTGGATGTTATAATGTAGGATGCGTCCCAAATGGCACCCTATTCCCTATTTTGCACTATAAGTGGTACACTATATAGGGAATAGGTTGTCATTTGGGATGCACACTTAGATTGTCTCTATCACATGGTTATTCTATTTGTTTTTGTATGTATTAATGGTTATATATCATTTGTGCCTGCTTTTGATTAGTATTTTTATTTTTTATTTTTTACTTGGGTAATAATGTGTAAAGCAGGTTTTCGGTGAAATTGTTGGGGAAAATGTGTCTAATCTACTTTAGCTAATTCAGACTCAATTATATGTTTTTCTATCCAATAGTCCTAAAATCATGGTTGTAGTGACTTTTTATGGGTCTGTCCCAAATGGCACCCTATTCCCTATTTAGTGCACTACTTTTTGATCAGAGCCCGTAAGGAATTAAGGTGTGATATAGGGAATAGGGTGCCATTTTGGACACATCCTATATCAGTGTGGTCCTGTATTTGAATACATACAGTACAGCACTGAATTGAATCTAATGAGAAAAGGTATATCCTGTAGGGGAGAGTGGGGTAAGTTGAGCCATTTTTTACATTCAGCATCACTCCATCAAGGGAAATATAGTATTCTTTCTAACAAAGATATCTACATATGTTTCAGGATGTTGTGTATCCCTGAAAATAATCAGAATTTATGTAAACATTACAGTTTTGAAAACATAGCTTGTCCAAAAAAATATTGGCATGACTTGGCACGACTTACACAGTTCTGTACTGAATGAAATATTGCCACTACCTTTTTAAAACCATGTCTATCTTTACTTCCCAAACACAATTCAACACAATCACAATCACTTTTTTGTCTTTTTAACAAATACTTTTTTTTACACTTTAAACATAGGCCAGGCCTTGTTGTTACCTCATAGCCCTCATATCCCAGCCTTGCATTATACCTGGGAAGAAAATATTTACTCAACTTACCCCAAGGCAAACAGTTTGACTATATTAGCCCACACAGCTACAAGGATGCACTTTCATGCTAGGTTTAGGACCTCATATTGAAGCTTATAGAGACCCCAACTTATGTATAGAAAAATTGTACAATTATCTACTTTGGTTTAGATACAAGCATCATGAAACCTCTTAACACAATAAATTCATTTGACTTGGTGAAAATATAGGGGGCCGTGGTCAAAAGTAGTGTACGATATCGAGAATTGGGGGCCATTTGGGACTCAGACCAGAATATGTTTTATCAGAATGCAGTTAAAGGGAAAACCAACTATGACCTATTACAATCTAAGTCACGGATGTTAGATATATTATCATTAATACATTACAGAATTATTTATTTATTTTATCACATAAATATCCATAGGGATTGCCAATAATAAAGATATAATATTTATTTCCCTCTCAGATAACTTTCTAATCAGCCACAAACCACATAAAATATGTTTAGACATGGTTGCCACTTTTGCACTGAAGTGATGCATAAAGAAAAGGTATAGACCTGGTATAGACCATCACATTGTCAATGGATGTCCCAGTCATAAGACTAAGATAACATACAATGACCTCCATACTGTATCTATAGATACTGACTTCATATACCCACTGCTTTATAAACTTCAGATTTGTATATTGTTTGCTGTTTTATTTTTGAAAACATAAATGCTATGCAACTTACAATATCATACCACTAAAGTAGCATTGAATCCCAATATTTCTTTATTTTTTAATATGCAGATTTTTGCTGATTTTACATTTTGTCACTGTACCACCAATAGCTCTTATATCATGTTATTACCATCACCTTTATGATTTCAGGATTTTGTTGAATGCATCTAATGCCTGTGTGAGTTTATACACATGTATGTAATGTATATATACAGTATCTCACAAAAGTGAGTACACCCCTCACATTTTTGTAAATATTTGAGTATATCTTTTCATGTGACAACACTGAAGAAATGACACTTTGCTACAATGTAAAGTAGTGAGTGTACAGCTTGTATAACAGTGTACATTTGCTGTCCCCTCAAAATAACTCAACACACAGCCATTAATGTCTAAACCGCTGGCAACAAATTGAGTACACCCCTAAGTGAAAATGTCCAAATTGGGCCCAATTAGCCATTTTCCCTCCCCGGTGTCATGTGACTCGTTAGTGTTACAAGGTCTCAGGTGTGAATGGGGAGTTAAATTTGGTGTCATCGCTCTCACACTCCCTCATACTGGTCACTGGAAGTTCAACATGGCACCTCATGGCAAAGAACTCTCTGAGGATCTGAAAAAAAGAATTGTTGCTCTACATAAAGATGGCCTGGGCTATAAGAATGCACAAGAAAGCCCGCAAACAGTTTGCTGAAGACAAGCAGACTAAGGACATGGATTACTGGAACCATGTCCTGTGGTCTGATGAGACCAAGATAAACTTATTTGGTTCAGATGGTGTCAAGCGTGTGTGGTGGCAACCAGGTGAGGAGTACAAAGACAAGTGTGTCTTGCCTACAGTCAAGCATGGTGGTGGGAGTGTCATGGTCTGGGGCTGCATGAGTGCTGCCGGCACTGGGGAGCTACAGTTCATTGAGGGAACCATGAATGCCAACATGTACTGTGACATACTGAAGCAGAGCATGATCCCCTCCCTTCGGAGACTGGGCCGCAGGGCAGTATTCCAACATAACGACCCCAAACACACCTCCAAGACGACCACTGCCTTGCTAAAGAAGCTGAGGGTAAAGGTGATGGACTGGCCAAGCATGTCTCCAGACCTAAACCCTATTGAGCATCTGTGGGGCATCCTCAAACGGAAGGTGAAGGAGTGCAAGGTCTCTAACATCCACCAGCTCCGTGATGTCGTCATGGAGGAGTGGAAGAGGACTACAGTGGCAACCTGTGAAGCTCTGCTGAACTCCATGCCCAAGAGGGTTAAGGCAGTGCTGGAAAATGATGGTGGCCACACAACATATTGACACTTTGGGCCCAATTTGGACATTTTCACTTAGGGGTGTACTCACTTTTGTTGCCAGCGGTTTAGACATTAATGGCTGTGTGTTGAGTTATTTTGAGGGGACAGCAAATTTACACTGTTATACAAGCTGTAAACTCACTACTTTACATTGTAGCAAAGTGTCATTTCTTCAGTGTTGTCACATGAAAAGATATACTCAAATATTTACAAAAATGTGAGGGGTGTACTCACTGTTGTGAGATACTGTATATACATATGTATTGCAAATAAATATACCGTTTGGATGTTTTGGGAATTGTCAATGTTAAATGCATATGTGCTGTAAGTATTTGTAACATAGACCTAAAGCACAAAGTGGTCTGCAAATAAAGTATTTTCAACAAAATCAGACTGCTGACTTTTGAAAAACAGATGTTGTGTTTGTATTTGGTCTGTTTGGGAAAGGCTACATCCCAAACGGCACCTTATTCCCTACATAGTCCAGTACTTTTGACCAGAGCCCCTATATATTGCACTACTTCAGACCAGGGCCCATAGGGCTCTGGTCAAAAGTAGTGCACTATGTAGGGAATAGGAATCCATTTGGGACACATCAAAATCTTGTTTCTGGGAAAACACGTGATTTATTTCATAATGTTCCTTCTCCAATGCCAAGACTGGAGTCAGAGAAGCTGAGGGGAGGAGAGGTAAGTGGGCTAGAGGGGGTGTTGATGCTGAGACTGCGTCCCAAATGGCGCCCTATTCCCTATGGACTATGGTTAAAAGTAGTGCACTATGTAAGGAATAGGGTGCCATTTGAGATCCGGCAACCTATTCTCTGGGAGCTGCAGAGCCCAAAGGGAGAACCTCCCACTCACAGACTGGAACAACATTACAGACATAGCTGCTTTACAGATAACTTCTACAGTATTTTGTTTTATTTTCCAGTGCAAGTTTGGGGTTGAGACAAGAAAAGAAGACTCTTGTTCCAGTGGCATGATACAGATCAGACGGTAAAGCAGAAAGATGAGGAACACACTGCTTTTGGTCATGGCTGCACTGACTGCAGTTAGTGGGCAGAGGCCAATGTGAGTTATGTTCTATCCATGCTAATTATTTGTAGAGACAGTATATTTTACTTGTATCATTGCTCATTGGTAATGCTCATTTTCTGTCATGTTGCAGTCCTAAAAAATTACCACAATTTGTGTGTGAGCGCGCGAGTGCTTGTACGTGCATGTTTGTTTGTGTTCATGTGTGCGTGTGTTTGCAGATGTCTCATCACTGCTCCGAACATAGTCCACTTGGGAGTGGAGGAGACAGTGACAGTACAGCTCCAGGGAGCTACCAAGCCTACACAGATCACTCTGTACTTCTTGTACCAAACCGCCAATAATAAAGTTCTGTCTGAAAAAAAGCATGTAACTCTCAATGAAGTCAATGGCTATCAGGATGTTGTGAAAATGAGGGTAAGTATGCAGAAGGCTAACCTCTTTTCATACCCTATGGAATTACTCGAACATGCATTTATATTATTTTGCCTCTATTCTCATGTTTTATAGGTCATTCCTAGCCTGTACGATGAGGTAATCAAAAGCATGAGACAAAGAAAGAGAGTTGTTCCATTTATCCAACTGGCTGCAGAGACCAAGGATGCTTTTCTTACAAAAAAAACAACAATCCTTTTGTCAACAAAAAAGGGTTATGTCTTCATTCAGACAGACAAACCAATCTACAATCCAGGAGAGAATGGTAAAGTGTAAAATTGCATTATATACAGTGCCTTCGGAAAGTATTCAGACACCTTGACTTTTTCCAAATGTTACGTTATAGCCTTATTCTAAAAAGGATTACATTTTTAAAAATCCTCAGCAATCTACACATAATACCCCATAATGACAAAGCGAAAACAGGTTATTAGAAATTTTAGCAAATGTATTACAAATAAAAAACAGAAATACCTTATTTACATAAGTATTCTGACCCTTTGCAATGAGACTCGAAATTGAGCTCAGGTGCATCCTGTTTCCATTGATCCTCCTTGAGATGTTCCTGCAACTTGATTGGAGTCCACCTGTGGTAAATTCAATTGATTGGACATGATCCCACAGTTGACAATGCATGTCACAGCAAAAACCAAGCCATGAGGTTGAAGGAATTGTACGTAGAGCTCCGAGACAGGATTGTGTCGAGGCACAGATCTGGGGAAGGGTACAAAAAAATGTCTGCAGCATTGAAGGTCCCCAAGAATACAGTGCCCTCCATCATTCTTAAATGGAAGATGTTTGGAACCACCAAGACTCTTCCTAGAGCTGGCCGCCCGGCCATACTGAGTAATCTGGGGAGAAGGGCCTTGGTCAGGAAGGTGACCAAGAACCCGATGGTCACTCTGACAGAGCTCCAGAGTTCCTCTGCGGACATGGGAGAACCTTTCAGAAGGACAACCATCTCTGCTGCACTCCACCAATCAGGCCTTTATGGTAGAGTGGCCAGACGGAAGCCACTCCTCAGTAAAAGGCACATGATGGCCTGCTTGGAGTTTGGCTAAAAAAGGAACCGAAAGACTCTCAGACCATGAGAAACAAGATTCTCTGGTCTGATGAAACCAAGATTGAACTCTTTGGCCTGAATGCCAAGCGTCACATCTGGAGGAAACCTGGCACCATCCCTACGATGAAGCGTGGTGGTGGCAGCATCATGCTGTGGGGATGTTTTTTCAGCGGCAGGGACTGGGAGACTAGTCAGGATCGAGGGAAAGATGAACGGAGCAAAGTACAAAGAGATCCTTGATGAAAAACTGCTCCAGAGCGCTCAGGACCTCAGACTGGGTCGAAGGTTCACCTTCCAACAGGACAACAACCCTAAGCACACAGCCAAGACAACGCAGGAGTGGCTTCGGGACAAGTCTCTGAATGTCCATGAGTGGCCCAGCCAGAGCCCAAACTTGAACCTGATTGAACATCTCTGGAGAGACCTGAAAATAGCTGTGCAGCAACGCTCCCCATCCAACCTGACAGAGCTTGAGAGGATCTGCAGAAAAGAATGGGAGAAACTCCGCAAATACAGGTGTGCCAAGCTTGTAGCGTCATGCCCAAGAAGACTCGAGGCTGTAGTCGCTGGCAAAGGTGCTTCAACAAAGTACTGAGTAAAGGGTCTGAATACTTATGTAAATGTGATTTTTCACAGTTTTTAAAAATGATAAATTAGCAAAAAGTTCTATAAACCTGTTTTTGCTTTGTCATTATGGGGTATTGTGTGTAGATTGATGAGGGGGAAAACAATTTAATCAAGTTTAGAATAAGGCTGTAACGTAACAAAATGTAGAAAAAGTGAAGGGGTCTGAATACTTCCCGAAGGCACAGTATGGTTTTAGTTATACATTTAGCCTAATACCCATTTTTCCTTTCCCAGTCAATTTCAGGGTCTTCACGTTAGACAACTATCTGCTGCCTGTCGAAGAAAGCATCAATGTCAAGATATTTGTACGTTTGTAAAACATTGAAAAAGTTATCCTTTTTAGATAAAACTATAATAAATATATTCACGTCACCAAATAATTGATTAAAACACACTGTTTTGCAATGAAGGTCTACAGTAGCCTCAACAGCACTCTGTAGGGTAGCACCATGGTGTAGCTTCCGTTCTCCTCTTGGGACATTGACTTCAATACAAAACCTAGGAGGCTCTTGGTTCTCACCCCTTTCCATAGACTTACATAGGGGACGTCCTCCAACCTCTTGCAGGATGAACTGACATGTTGTCCACCCAATCAAAGGATCATATAATAATAATATGCCATTTAGCAGACCTTTTATCCAAAGCGACTTACAGTCATGCGTAAATACATTTTTAGATATGGGTGGTCCCGGGGATCGAACCCACTACCCTGGCGTTATAAACGCCATGCTCTACCAATTGAGCTACAGAGGACCGTAATGAATCTATTACTGAAAGCATTAGCTACAGCTAGCTAGCAAGCACTGCAGTGCATAAAATGTGGTGAGTAGTTGACTCAAAGAGAAAGACAATAGTTGAACAGTTTTCAACAAATGAATTTCTTCAAAAATGAAGGAGAAGCAAGAGAGAGAGGGAGATTTATTCTTCTTTTTTTTGTCACTTGTCAGTTTCACTTAACTTTACTTTGCTAGCAAATGCAGCTGACTAGTTTAGTTAATCAAACGCACGGCTCAAACAGAGTGATGCTATGTTAGCTAGCTGGCAATGACTATCCAACACAACACTGGAACTCTTCCAAGTCAAGGTAAGCTTTTGGTTTTATTAATGTATTGCTACGGGGTCCGCTGGTCTAACTGCTTACTGACTGACTCTACACTGTAACGTTACTGCATGATTGTAGCGGGTTTACTAACCCATTAGTTATATTAGCTATGTTGACTAGGACGTTACTTTAGCTAAAATGGTGACAACGATGTAACGTTAGGCTGTGTGTAGCGGTTATGACATGTTTTGGCTTGGAAAGGTTTTTTCGCCTGGTCACATACAGCTGATGTGTTGTTCATTGAAGTCCACAAACGAAGGTGAGAGGAGGAGAGTGCATAGAGGCTAGAATGAATACAACGTGGCTGCAATTAAAGTGAACTCTGTTTATGAGATCAGGGGTATATTCAGTCTGCCGATTCTGTTGAAAAACGTTTCTTAAACGGAAGCAAACGAAACGGGGATTAAAAAATACCTGAATTTGTCCAATAGAAACTCTCGTTTGCAACTGTTGGACTAATGATTACACCCTAAATAAGCTAGATGCAGGCAAGAGTGTGCAAGGCGGTATTGAATGTGTCACTGTCTGTCCATGTGTCACTGTCTGTCATCTCAAATGTTTCTCTCGACCTGTGTGCACCTACGTTGTAAACTTTCATTCATAGGTTGTAGCAACCTCATGATGGGTAGGTATAGGGAAAATTCGGGTATCATGTAGTAGCCTAAACCTATGTATGTTACATTGAACTGGGTGAATGGAATATGAATGACAGTCATCCAACATGCTGTAATATAAATAAGACCATGCTCATGAAAAATAAAAATGGTCCTCCCTCATCATAAACGGCACTGACTGCCACTGATCTGTATGTTAAAGTTGTCTTATTGTGTTATATTAATTCTCTGTTCTCTAACGTTCACTGTCTGTCTACAGAACTCCAAAGGCCTGCTGGTGTACAACCAGGCTCTACACTCCAGTAAACTCATTCAGAGGAACATTGTGATCCCTGACGTTGAGACGTAAGTAGTATGTTGACATAAAGTCTATGGAAGACAGGACATCCGTAGCACTGACCACTACTCTGTCCATATAATTCAGGGCTGGCCATTGGAAGATTGTTGCCACTTTTACCAACCATCCCATGTCCAACTCTTCAGTGGAGTTTGAGGTCAAAGAATATGGTGAGTATCTAAAGTAGGTTGTCTGACTGTATGATACGGCCCAACAACAAAAACATAAAGTGAAGCTTCCCCTCTATTTCTTTCAGTTCTTCCTGTGTTTGAGGTGAAGATAGCAGCTTTGAAACCATATTATTTGCTGACAGAGGATTCCTTTCAATTCAGCGTCTCTGCAATGTGAGATTGTTGAAGCAGATTGCATTTATGGACTGTTTTGTGAATTGTTCATACATTTAACATTTACATTTTGGTAATTTAGCAGACTCTCTTATCCAGAGCGACTTACAGTAGTGAGTGCATACATTTTTCTTACTTTTTTTCATAGTATGCCAAATACATGTGTGTTGATTGCAGGTACACCTATGGCAAAGGTGTCAATGGCATAGCTTATATTAGATTTGGACTAATCGATGGAGAAGGCAACAGAACACATCTACCTGGCCTAGAAAACAAGACTTCTGTGAGTTCACTTCATCATCTCAAAGCTTTACATAAAAAAAAATAACATTAAAGTCATTGTTTCTAATTGTAGAGTTATTGTTTTGTATCCAGGCCAGTTCCATTGACTTTTATTTTTCTGATGAGTCATTTGTGAAATTTTTTCTGGTGTATTGTAGATTCAAGATGGCATCGCCAGCATTACCCTGCCAACTGAAGACCTACGTGGGAAAGCAGGAAAGCAAGGCATCCCACACATGGAGGGATACAATCTGTACATAGCTGTTACAGCTTTAGAAACAGCAAGTAAGTCCTTCATACAGTTAGATAAAACATGACCATACCAGCGGATTCAGGTATTTTCTCTAGGGCATACAATAACTGTTTGTGCTGTATGACAGTGACTGTCTCTCTCGGTCTGTATTTTGTCTCTCTCTCTCTCTCTCTCTCAGGTGGAGATCTAGAAGAAGCTGAGAGCACTTCAGTAAAGATAGTGACGTCTCCATACATCATTGACATGTCAAAGACTAAGGAATACTTCACACCTGGAGGAAAGTTCTCTATCCTGGTACTGTGTGGTCGTTTCTGCACTCAAAGACAAACGTTAACACCACAGAATAAAATATAATTGTATTCATTCAGTACATCATATTGAGATTAGCAAATTCCTTTTCCAAATGAGACGTACAATAGTTATCAGTGTTATCAATTGTATTTGCCTTACTATGACTGTATCTACAGACATAGTCAACTGGGTATATGCTGCATGTTTCATTCTCAGGCCACCACCACCCACCCAGATGGATCCCCAGCCCCTGACCTCCGTATAAGGGCTTCAGTTTCAGTGACCTCTGTAGGAGGCACACAGGAGTCTGTTAAGATGGAGGGATCCGGTAACTCTAAGGGTGAGGCTGTTCTCGCCTTCGAAGTGCCCAAACTGGCCACGTCTATCGACATCAAGGTATAGGACAGACAGATAACTTTCAATCAACACTCTATTTCCCATGTAGTTTGACAAGCATATTATGTGTCTCTAAGCTCTGTGGTTAGCAGAAATGTAGTGCACTAAATAGGGAATATGGTGTCATTTGAGACACAGCCACTATTTGATGTGAGGTCATATTGACTATCTGTTCCTGTCTCCAGTTGTTTGCTGCGGGAGAGGAGGAGGAGGTGGTAGTGAGTGATGCCAAAATGACATTGTCAGCAGTCCAGTCTGAGGGGAACAGCTACCTGAGTGTAGAGATAGAACACGTCACCCTGGAGCCAGGAGGAACCATGACGGTCACTCTCAGAGACATCACCCCACCAGGCACCCCACGACCATCCTACATCTACTACATGGTAACATACTGGAGTATCAGTCCATTCTAATAATGGATGGAGATGACCATTTACCACTTCTGCAACATACTTTATCTGTGCATAGCTTCACGTTTCCATACACTACAGTCGATTTTTGTTATTTTTCTTTATTTAACCTTTATTTAACTAGGCAAGTCAGTTAAGAACAAATTCTTATTTACAATGACGGCCTACTCCAGCCAAACCCGGACGACGCTGGGCCAATTGTGCGCCGCCCTATGGGACTCCCAATCACGTCCAGATTGTGATTGTGACGCCTTTAGCACTGAGATGCAGTGCCTTAGACCGCTGCGCCACTTGGGAGCAAGGATTAGGATTGTCATAGCTGTGGTTTGTCTGCAACCAACATGAATATAAGCACGTTGGGAGTTGAACCATTTCAATATCTGTAGTGAAGAGTAATAATGTGTTATTCCCTTTCTTTACATGCTCTGTCAGGTCCTGAGTAAGGGCAGAGTGGTCCAGATGAACAGGGTGCAGAGGACTGAGCTGACCACCTTCAATCTGGCCTACAGTCTTGACCTGGTCCCCTCCTTTAGACTGGTGGCCTACTACTTCACACAGGGCCCAGAGAAGACTACCATAGTGGCTGACTCTGTATGGGCCGATGTCAAAGACTTCTGCAAAGGACAGGTTCTGTAGTTACCACTTGTTTCTCTACTTCTACTCTTACTAAACTTAGCCAGTTATGTATTTTTAATTCTTTTTAATCAGAGCTGTGCATCAAGAAGGCAAATTGTATGTTTTCATCTTGACTAATAAGGATCAATCAAAGTGATATAGTTTTGCATGGAGGCAGATTGTGATATTATCTTTGTTGTTGTGTTTTCAGATCGAGATCCTTCCATTTAAAGAGCATAAACCAGCTGAGTTGGTGAATGTGGTGGTCCGTACAGACCAGGGAGACAAGGTAGCTCTGGCTGCTGTAGATACAGCTGTTTACATCCTCAACAAGAACAACAAACTCACTCCTCAGAAGGTACAGAGCCTCCGTCTATCACACACTTACCAGGTTTAATGAATAGATACATACAGTATGTCAATCTCAATGTGACAATAACATTACATTATTAGTTTGGATTTTGCCTCAGTTTTAGATGTATGTTGACAGCTTCACAAGGCTATGACCTGGTATCAGCTAATAGAGCGTTTCCTAAGCTAAGTCCTGGAGATGATGAGTTGATTATTTGAATCAGCTGTGTAGTGCTGCTGTCTACCAGGGAGAATGGGATATGCAAAAGACAAATCTCTGTTGTTCATGTAGTAAATGGACCAATAAAGTAATCTTCTTCTTTAGATGTTTGCCTACATGAACTCCTATGACCTGGCGTGTTCTATGGGAGGAGGCAGAAACTACCAGTCTGTGTTACAGGACGCTGGGCTCGCCTTTATAACCAACTGTGGAGGTACAGAGGTTCACGTGAGAAAGGGTACGATTTACATTTAGACATTTAACTAATTATAATATTGACTGAATAGCACATGAAAGGATCCTGACTGGCAAAAGCACACCACTGCAGCTGTTTTTGTTGATGGAGTTTATTCCACACAATATTGTAAAATGATTTTTATTTTGTCCTCTGATAATCAGATTACTCCTGTAACAGCAGAAGAAGAAGACAGAAGAGAGCCCTGAACCATCACCAGGCTTTCTCTGATATCAGTAGGTGTAGCAGTAACTTCTCCTATTCTCCCTCCATCTTCTGAGCATGCTGGTTTTACTCTTATGGTGAGCGTATGAAGTATTATTAGTTATAGAAATGACAGTGCTTTCAATAATCCTTTAATTTACAAATGTTCAGATATGTTTCAGCAAAAGTCTTCCTTAGCATATTACATGTACCCAAACCAGAAACCGTGGATAGATTGCAGCATTCGCGCAAAACTGAAAGCATTTAACCATGGCAAGGTGACTGGGAAAATGGTTGAATACAAACAGTGTAGTTATTCCCTCCGTAAGGCAATCAAACAGGCAAAACGTCAGTACAGAGACAAAGTGGAGTCGCAATTCAACGGCTCAGACACGAGACGTATGTGGCAGGGTCTACAGACAATCACGGATTACAAAGGGAAAACCAGCCACGTCGCGGACACCGACGTCTTGCTCCCAGACAAACTAAACACCCTTTTCACTCGCTTTGAGGATAACAGTGCCACCAACGCGGCCCGCTCCCAAGGACGCTGGGCTCTCGTTCTCCGTGGCCGACGTGAGTAAGACATTTAGCGTGTTAACCCTTGCAAGGCTGCCGGCCCAGACGAGATCCCTAGCCGTGTCCTCAGAGCGTGCGCAGACCAGCTGGATGGAGTATTTACGGACATATTCAATCTCTTCCTATCCCAGTCTGCTGTCCCCACTTGCTTCAAGATGACCACCATTGTTCCTGTACCCCAGAAAGCAAAGGTAACTGAACTAAATGACTCACCCCGTAGCTCTCACTTCTGTCATCATGAAGTGCTTTGAGAGGCTAGTTAAGGATCATATCACCTCTACCTTACCTGACACCCTAGACCCACTTCAATTTGCTTACCGCCCCAATAAATCCATAGATGATGCAATCGCCATTGCACTGCACACTGCCCTATCCCATCTGGACAGAAGGAATACCTACGTCAGAATGCTGTTCATTGACTATAGCTCAGCCTTCAACACCATAGTACCCTCCAAGCTCATCATTAAGCTCGGGGCCCTGGGTCTGAACCCCACCCTGTGCAACTGGGTCCTGGACTTCCTGACGGGCCGCCTTTAGGTGGTGAAGGTAGGAAACAACATCTCCACTTCGCTGATCCTCAACACAGGGGCCCCACAAGGGTGCGTGCTCAGCCCCCTCCTGTACTCCCTGTTCACCCATGACTGCGTGGCCACGCACGCCTCCAACTCAATCATCAAGTTTGCAGACGACACAACAGTAGTAGGCCTGATTACCAACAATGACGAGACAGCCTACAGGGAGGAGGTGAGGGCCCTGGCAGAGTGGGGCCAGGAAAATAACCTCTCTCTCAACGTCAACAAAAAAAAAAAAGGAGCTGATCGTGCACTTCAGGAAACAGCAGAGGGAGCACGCCCCTATCCACATCGACGGGACTGACAATCTGAAATGGTCCACCCACACAGACAGTGTGGTGAAGAAGGCGCAACAGCGCCTCTTCAACCTCAGGAGGCTGAAGAAATTTGGCTTGGCCCCTAAGACCCTAAGACCCTCAGAAACTTTTACAGATGCACAATTGAGAGCATCCTGTCTGGCTGTATCAACGCCTGGTACGGCAGCTGCTCCGCCCGCAACCGCAGGGCTCTCCAGAGGGTGGTACGGTCTGCCCAACGCATCACCGGGGGCACACTGCCTGCCCTCCAGGACACCTACAGCACCCGATGTCACAGGAAGGCCAAAAAGGACATCAACCACCCGAGCCATGGCCTGTTCACCCCGCTATCATCCAGAAGGTGAGGTCAGTACAGGTGTATCAAAGCTGGGACCGAGAGACTGAAAAACAGCTTCTATCTCAAGGCCATCAGACTGTTAAATAGCCATCACTAGCCGGGTACCACCCGGCTACTCAACCCTGCACCTTAGAGGCTGCTGCCCTATATACATAGACATGGAATCACTGGCCACTTTAAATAATGGAACACTAATCACTTTAATAATGTTTACATACTGCTTTACTCATCTCAAATGTGTATATACTGTATTCTATTCTACTGTATTTAGTCAATGCCACTCCGACATTGCTCGTCCTAATATTTATATTTGTATATATTTCTCAATTCCATTCTTTTACTTTTAGATTTGTGTATTGTTGTGAATTGTTAGATACTACTGCACTGTTGGAGCTAGGAACACAAGCATTTCGCTACACCCGCAATAGCATCTGCTAAATATGTGTATGTGACCAATAAAATTTGATTTTATTTATATAATTTATTAGCTAGACACATAGTTCTTATCTGCAGTCAACAGGTACCAGAATCCAGTGGAGAAGAGGTGTTGTCACGATGGAGCCAGGTTTAACAGCCTGGGTCTGACCTGTGAGAGTCGTCATGCTAAAACCACCCACAAGTCTGTTCCGTGTCGCGCTGCCTTCCTCAAGTGCTGCAGAGATGCCACCACGCTGAGGAGCAACATCAAGAAGAGCAGGAAGACGTACAGCCTGGCTAAAAGTACAGTACAGTATTGTATTATATTATTACATTAGTAGTTGGACTGTTAATAGCGTCTCAGAATATCTCACAATCTACAGATTCTTGTGGTGCATTTAAGCAATAAGGCCTGAGGGTGTGTGGTATATGGCCAATATACCACGGCTAAGGGCTGTTCTTATGCACGATGCAACGCGGAGTGCCTGGATACAGCCCTTAGCCGTGGTATATTGGCCATATACCATAAACCTACGAGGTGCCTTATTGCTATTATAAACTGGTTACCAACGTAATTGGAACAATAAAAATAAATGTTTTGTCATACCCGGTGTATATAGACTGATATACCACGGCTTTCAGCCAATCAGCATTCAGGTCTCGGAACACCCAGTTTATAATCAGTAATATAGAACTTCTTAGATAAATCAATACTTTTGTCTTTTTGCAGATTAGTTGTACTACAGTATATGCACATATTTTGTATTGATTGAGCTGAAATTTGTTAGAATGATGTCTGAGGATATGCATCTCTCTCTCCCTGTCCTCTTCCCTGTCTTCCTGTTTAGCGGCTGACGATATGGGTGAGGAAGAGGAGGCCATAGATGAGGTGTCTGTCCACCTCCGCTCCTATTTCCCTCAGACCTGGATGTGGGGCATTGTTGATGTGGGCCCCTCTGGTCTCGTAAGGTAACATGGTAACCTGCAACATCATGGACGGTAGGGCAGCGTCACAAATGATACCCTATTCCCTATATAGTGCACTACCAGCCCTGGTCTAAACTAGTACACTATATAGGGAATAGGGTGCCATTTGGGACACAGGCCAGGACAGTCATGACTGGGACCAGGAGTTTTCCCTGACCATGTGAACTGACTGGGTAAAACTTGGGGACCAATATAGTGTAACAAGTATATTAGGAATTAAATAATGTTCTAATTTATTATTTTCAGACACAGTGTTGCTGTCCCTGACTCCATCACTACCTGGGAGGTTCAAGCAGTGGGGATCTCTAAAACAAAAGGCAGGTCACCTCTTCCTTCTAACCTAAGACCATTACACTAGCCTGGTCCTATATCTGTTTGTGCTCTTACAAACTCAGTTTAGCTGTCATTGTCAAGCCAACCATGACAACGAGTGACAAAAGTTGGCATGCTAGCACAAACAGACTTTCAGAGGACAGTCATCAAGTTGTTAATGTTAGTGTTGATTCTCCCTTCAGGGTTTTGTATAGCAGAGCCCAAGCCTCTGGTGGTGTTCCAGGACTTCTTTGTCTCTCTCAGACTTCCCTATTCTGTGAAGAGAAACGAACAGCTACAGGTGAAAGCTGTGGTGTACAACTACAGAACCGACAGTATGGAGGTAACTAGTGTTGTAAAAACAATATATGTCAAAACAATATATTCAAGTCCAAAATGCCCCCAACAGCCATTTATACAAATAAACCACAGTTGCAGAAATTTTCATCTGTAGATTCCTTTGATAGACATTTTTACTATACTTACATCTACTACCATGTCTATGTGTTTCTCTATGTGAAGGTGACAGTGGAGCTGGCATGGGTGGAGGGTCTTTGCAGTGCAGGGGGAGACCGAGGGGACAAGCAGGTGGTCACAGTACCTGGTAACTCTGCTCTCCCTGTCTACTTCACCGTGGTTCCTCTGGTCATAGGAAACATCCCTATCCATGTAGAAGCTTACACTAAGACGGCCCGCGACCAGATCAAGAAGGACCTCAAAGTCACAGTATGAACACAACACTGGCAAATATTTATAACTTGTATCACCTCCCTCCCTCCAATATACAGTAGTGCTTCAGTATGTCTCTATGATACATACAGTGGGAAAAAAGTATTTAGTCAGCCACCAATTGTGCAAGTTCTTCCACTTAAAAAGATGAGAGGCCTGTAATTTTCATCATAGGTACACGTCAACTATGACAGACAAAATGAGAAAAAAAATCCTGAAAATCACATTGTAGGATTTTTTATGAATTTATTTGCAAATTATGGTGGAAAATAAGTATTTGGTCAATAACAAAAGTTTCTCAATACTTTGTTATATACCCTTTGTTGGCAATGACACAGGTCAAACGTTTTCTGTAAGTCTTCACAAGGTTTTCACACACTGTTGCTGGTATTTTGGCCCATTCCTCCATGCAGATCTCCTCTAGAACAGTGATGTTTTGGGGCTGTCGCTGGGCAACACAGACTTTCAACTCCCTCCAAAGATTTTCTATGGGGTTGAGATCTGGAGACTGGCTAGGCCACTCCAGGACCTTGAAATGCTTCTTACGAAGCCACTCCTTCGTTGCCCGGGCGGTGTGTTTGGGATCATTGTCATGCTGAAAGACCCAGCCACGTTTCATCTTCAATGCCCTTGCTGATGGAAGGAGGTTTTCACTCAAAATCTCACGATACATGGCCCCATTCATTCTTTCCTTTACACGGATCAGTCGTCCTGGTCCCTTTGCAGAAAAACAGCCCCAAAGCATGATGTTTCCACCCCCATGCTTCACAGTAGGTATGGTGTTCTTTGGATGCAACTCAGCATTCTTTGTCCTCCAAACACAACGAGTTGAGTTTTTACCAAAAAGTTCTATTTTGGTTTCATCTGACCATATGACATTCTCCCAATCCTCTTCTGGATCATCCAAATGCACTCTAGCAAACTTCAGATGGGCCTGGACATGTACTGGCTTAAGCAGGGGGACATGTCTGGCACTGCAGGATTTGAATCCCTGGCGGCATAGTGTGTTACTGATGGTAGGCTTTGTTACTTTGGTCCCAGCTCTCTGCAGGTCATTCACTAGGTCCCCCCGTGTGGTTCTGGGATTTTTGCTCACCGTTCTTGTGATCATTTTGACCCCACAGGGTGAGATCTTGCGTGGAGCCCCAGATCGAGGGAGATTATCAGTGGTCTTGTTTGTCTTCCATTTCCTAATAATTGCTCCCACAGTTGATTTCTTCAAACCAAGCTGCTTACCTATTGCAGATTCAGTCTTCCCAGCCTGGTGCAGGTCTACAAATTTGACAGCTCTTTGGTCTTGGCCATAGTGGAGTTTGGAGTGTGACTGTTTGAGGTTGTGGACAGGTGTCTTTTATACTGATAACAAGTTCAAACAGGTGCCATTAATACAGGTAACGAGTGGAGGACAGAGGAGCCTCTTAAAGAAGAAGTTACAGGTCTGTGAGAGCCAGAAATCTTGCTTGTTTGTAGGTGACCAAATACTTATTTTCCACCATAATTTGCAAATAAATTCATTAAAAATCCTACAATGTGATTTTCTGGATTTTTTTCCCTCAATTTGTCTGTCATAGTTGACGTGTACCTATGATGAAAATTACAGGCCTCTCATCTTTTTAAGTGGGAGAACTTGCACAATTGGTGGCTGACTAAATACTTTTTTTCCCCACTGTATGTACATTAGGCTACATGTGGTTCTCACGTCTTTATTCTGCTGAACACAACTGGCAACGTGGATTTGAATCCCACTTTTTACTATTTTTCTCCCATTATTATACAAAAGTTACAGTACAGATGTAGGATCTTAATTTGATCACCCTGTTGCAGGATAATGTTGTAATATATTTGAAGTTTAAAAAGGCTTTCCACATAATAATTCACATTTTCTGTTGCTGCAGGATAATTTTCCTGCTGTAGCAATCTGGCTCAAATTAAGATCCTACATCTGTATATGTGCGTATAACCAATCTGAATGAGACTCTCACCTTTTGTTCTGTTTTACAGGGGGAAGGGGAACTGGTCTCAATACAACATGAATACAACATTGATGGGAAAGGTAATGTTGTCTTTCAATAAAAGTGACATTTATGCAAACAAGCCTCATCAGACCATTGAGTTAAAACAGTCTCTCCATTTCTTATCTATGTCACACAGCTGCCAAGTCAATCGAGCTTGAAATCCCACCTCCTCCTAATGCTGTCCCTGGACTGGAATCTGACACCTACATCAGTGTCAAAGGTAAGGAGGGTCCACAGACTCACTCTACCCACACCTCGATAAATGCTTTAGTCAGACTTTCTGCTAGTGTGGAGCATAGACTGTGTGGGGTCTGTAGTACTGTATGTATTTACATTTAAATGTTTTACATTTTGGTCCATGAAATATTATTTCAGACTACGAGTTTTCCCTGACCAATCCCCAGGCCTAGTTTACTACTATAACAGGGAAACCTCTCCCATCACACCCATGTAGGTGGCGTGATGGGAGAGTCAGTGGAGAACTGTCTGAACCTGGGTGGAGTGGACCAGCTCATCTCCCTTCCCAAGGGGTGTGCGGAGCAGACCATGGTCACCATGTCTCCAGCCATCCACGCCATGAGATACCTGGACGCTACGGGACAGTGGATCGACCTAAAGGCTGAACGCAGAGACGAAGCCCAAGCCATGATACAGGCTGGTGAGGGGACACTGGGAGAACTTAAGTTAATCCCTTTGAGACATCTACCCTTGTGGGAATCAAACGGTTGAAATTAATTGATTCTTTGTCTTTCCAAGGATACGGCAGAATCCTGACCTTCAAGAAGCCAGACGGATCCTATGGAGCTTTCCTGTCAACCCCAAGCAGTGTTTGGTTGACAGCCTTTATAGCCAAGGAGTTGTCCCAGTGCAGGGACGTGATACCAGTGGAGGACTCCTACATCCAACAGTCTATTTCCTACCTGGTGTCTAAACAGCTAGCCAGTGGAGCCTTCACTGACCCTAACCCTCTCTATGACCGCACCATGCAGGTAAGAATACTTTATTAATCCATACAAGACGGAAATATGTCTTCTGCTGTACCCAACCCCTCAGAAATACACATTAGGTTGGAGAGGCTGGAGCAGTGGGCAGCCACACAGTTGAGCAGTTTAGGGGTTAAGTGCCTTGCTCAAGGGCACAATGGCAGGAGTTATTGTCTTTCTAGGATTTGTCATTAACAACCATCTAGTAGTCGACTCAAATATCGTCAGATTCTTTCCGCCTGTGCTGGGTAACAATCCCACCCCTATAACCTTTAAGTACGACCCAAACGTTCTTTATGTACGGACCATCCAGGTACCATACCATGCAATACAATATTATGTCTTTACCTGTATGCTATCTCTCCATTCCCTCACCGCAGGGTGGAGTGGGAGGGTTTGAGGGAGATATGTCCCTGACAGCATTCGTTCTGATAGCCATGAACCACGCTGTGCCACTGTACCCTGAAGGACAAGGCTCAGAAATGGTAATACATAATTCAACTAAGTCATGGACTTAACCTTTACATCACCTAACTTATCATCACTAACTTAACCTAACTTAAAAGTTGTGGAATTATTATCCCAAAGGGGCAAGTTGGTTTTGCAGCAATATCATCCAGAATAAAGCAACATGCCTTTTTGTGTCTGTCATGATAAAGCACATTTTTGTGTCTATTGTGATCATGTTTAACTAATGCATATTGCTATTTCTAATGCTAAATCTATCCACCATTCCCATGTGTTAGAGGCAGGCTATGGAGAAGGCTAAGGCCTACCTGGAGTCGAAGCTGGACTCGCTTCAGAGGCCCTTCTCTGTAGCCATCACCTCCTACGCCCTCTCTCTAACCTCCCCTGGCAGAGACGCTGCCTCCATGGCTCAGACCAAACTCAGGGCCTTGGCACACAGTGACAATGGTCAGTACCTTGTTACTTTACTAGTCATCTAGATCAGAAGGGCTATGGGTTGCCTAGTTGTCTATTTAAGAAGGGCTATATTCATCTAGCACAAGTGTGTTTATACTGTTTTAACTAATTCCTTTGGACTTCAACCTGCTTTGATTAATAGCGCCTGTAAATTATTACCGGTAGTGGCTGGAGAAAAAGTCAGGATAAGGTCTTCTGGGTAGTTATTGATTCCCTGGTCTGTATGAACATTGAGGGAAGGTAGACATACACAATGACAACATTTAAACAGCAGAGGGTGTCAGATTACTGATTATGTCTCCTATGCAATGTTATATGGCTAAGGACGTAGCTGCTAAACATACTGTATATCTCCCCTGCAGAAGCAGATACATGTCACTGGGAGGCCAGTGATGCTCTGAGGCTGAGCGGGGAGACGAGGGCCAATCAGGTGCCCCAGGCCCAGGCCATCTCCGTGGAAACCACGGCTTACGCCCTGCTCCAGACCGTGGCGGAGGGAGACATGCCGTACGCGACGTGCATCGCCCGCTGGCTCACTGAGCAGAGACAGTACGGAGGAGGGTTCCGCTCTACACAGGTAGTTACTGTAGGACAAGCCACCAGTAGACAGACAGGTAGTTACTGTAGGACAAGCCACCAGTAGACAGACAGGTAGGTGCTGTAGGACAAGCCACCAGTAGACAGACAGGTAGGTACTGTAGGACAAGCCACCAGTAGACAGACAGGTAGTTACTGTAGGACAAGCCACCAGTAGACAGACAGGTAGGTGCTGTAGGACAAGCCACCAGTAGACAGACAGGTAGTTACTGTAGGACAAGCCACCAGTAGACAGACAGGTAGGTACTGTAGGACAAGCCACCAGTAGACAGACAGGTAGGTACTGTAGGACAAGCCACCAGTAGACAGACAGGTAGGTACTGTAGGACAAGCCACCAGTAGACAGACCGGTAGGTACTGTAGGACAAGCCACCAGTAGACAGACAGGTAGTTACTGTAGGACAAGCCACCAGTAGACAGACAGGTAGGTACTGTAGGACAAGCCACCAGTAGACAGACAGGTAGGTACTGTAGGACAAGCCACCAGTAGACAGACAGGTAGTTACTGTAGGACAAGCCACCAGTAGACAGACCGGTAGTTACTGTAGGACAAGCCACCAGTAGACAGACAGGTAGTTACTGTAGGACAAGCCACCAGTAGACAGACCGGTAGTTACTGTAGGACAAGCCACCAGTAGACAGACAGGTAGGTACTGTAGCATTATGATTGGGAGCTCGGAGTTATCACTGACCACCTGACCTGACCTGGAAAAACTCCTGGCCCTAGTTATATGATTCTCTTCTTTTCTTTTTCTTGTCTTTCTCTGCCCCCTCCTCTCACTCTTCCCTTCTCTCTTTCTTTCTCTGTTCCCTCTTCTTTCTCTCACTCTTCCCTTCTTCTCTCTTTCTTCTCTCTCTTCTCTCTCCTCTCTCTCTCTCTCTCTCTCTTCCTCACTCCCTCTCTCCCTCTCTCCAACAGGATACAGTTGTAGCTCTTGAGGCTCTAGCTAAGTACAGTATCAAGGACAATGATGTTCAGGACTTGGACCTTAATGTTGAGATGTGTTACCAAAACGGCCGCAAGCAGAGAGTTCATCTTACGAAGCGTAATGCCCTGACCCTATCTGCCTTCCAGGTGAGATTGAGTTTAGAATTCAAGCAGTGGTCTGATTTACCTCTCTCAAATGCTGTTTTACATCTACTAATCTCTGTGTCGTCTGGTTTGTCTGGGCAGGTGGACCCAGGAAGCCAGATCACTATTAACACAGAGGGGAAGGGAAACGGGACCTTATCAGTAAGTAAATTCAGTAAATACATTTTAAAAGTAAATGATGATGATTCTAACATTGTAAGACTGTCTGAATCTCAACGGATGTGTCCACAGTGCTTGTTTTATGTCATCAGGTGGTCCAGACCTACAGGACTCTGGAGAGGATGGACTTGTTTTGTGATTTATACAGTCTCAATGTCTCGGTGGAGGGAGAGGTCAAGTACAGAAGTAAGTTTGTCAGAATGCATCTATAAACACTAAACACATTTGCTGGAGTGCTGCTTGAAAACATAAAACACTATTCATTGTCAGTATAAATGTGTAATGTTACAGAGAAAGCGGATGATGGTCCTGAGCTGGACGACTATTATAACTATGAGTCTGAGGGGGACGGGAACCCTAGTGATGAGCCAATGAGCAGGGTGGAATGGTTTGACCTGCGCACACGCAGGAAGAGACACGCCCCACAGGAGGAGGAGAGGGAGAACTCCCTAGTCTACACTGTGTGTGTGGGGTGAGTACAGGTGTGTGTGCATGTGTGTACATTGTGTGTGTGTGTGTGTGTGTGTGTGTGTGTGCATGCATGGGGTGGGATGAGCGGAGAGACATGGTTCTATCTCTCCTCTCCTACAGACTGACCAGTGGTAATTCTACAGGCATGGTCATTGTGGACATCTCCCTTCTCAGTGGACTCAAACCTAACATGCAGGATCTGGAGGAGGTACAGTAGGCCTACATTTAATGTTGATTTAAATGTTTTACATTTACCAGACACTCTTATACACAGTCAGTGCATTCAACTATGGGCTCGATTCAATCCGTAGCGCTGAAGTTCCGCCATACAGCGCAATTGAAATTTGAAGGCAATGTTTCCGCGTTCGTGGAGACTGCATTCATGGTAAATGCTGCATGTGCAGGAAAACTGAAATCCGTTTTATCTCATTTCTACCAGCATATCACCTGTGCAACTAGAGGCAAAAGAAAACTCTAGTTCACCTTTACTCCACACACAGAGACGCATACAAAGCTCTCCCTCGCCCTGCATTTGTCATATTTGACCATAACTCTATCCTCCCTGATTTTTGCTTACAAGCAAAAACTCAAACAGGAAGTACCAGTGATGCGCTCAATACAAGTGGTCCGATGAAACGGATGCTAAGATACAGGACTGTTTCGCTAGCACAGACTGGAATATGTTCCGGGATTCATCCGATGGCATTGAGGAGTTTACCACATCAGTCACCGGCTTCATTAATAAGTGCATCGACAATGTCGTCCCAACAGTGACCGTATGTACATATCCCAACCATGGATTACAGGCAACATCCGCACTGAGCTAAAGAGCTGCCGCTTTCAAGGAGCGGGACACTAATCCGGACGCTTATAAGAAATCTGGCTACGCCCTTAGACAAACCATCAAACAGGCAAAGCGTCAATACAGGACCAAGATCTAATCGTACTTCATCGGCTCTGATGGTCGTCGGATGTAGCAGGGCTTGCAAACTATCACGGATTGCAAAGGGAAACCCAGCCGCAAGCTTTCCAGTGACGCGAGCCTACCAGACGAGCTAAACACATTCTATGCTCGCTTCGAGGCTAGCAACACTGAACCATGCATGAGAGCACCAGCTGTTCCAGACGACCATGTGATCACACTCTCCGTAGCCAATGTGAGTAAGACCTTTTTAAACAGGTTAACATTCAAAAGGCCGCAGGTCCAGATGGATTACAAGGATGCGTACTCAGAGCATGCACTGACCAGCTGGCAAGTGTCTTCACTGAAATGTTCAACCTCTCCCTGACCCAGTCTGTAACGCCTACATGTTTCAAGCAGACCACCATAGTCCCTGTGCCCAAGAATGCCTAGGTAACCTGTCTAAATGACTTTCACTCCGTAGCACTCACATCTGTAGCCATTCAATTCTTAGAAAGGCTGGTCATGGCTCACAACAACACCATCATCCCAGACACCCTGGACCCACTCCAATTCACATACTGCCCCAACAGATCCACAGATTACGCAATCTGTATTGCACTCCACATTGCCCTTTCCCACCTGGACAAAGGAACACCTACGTGAGAATGCTGTTCATTCACTACAGCTCAACGTTCAACACCATAGTGCCCTCCAAACTCATCACTAAGCTAAGGACCCTGTGACTGAACACCTCCCTCTGCAACTGAATCCTGGACTTCCTGACGGGCCGCCCCCAGGTGGTGAAGGTAGGCAACAACACATCCGCCACGCTGACCCTCAACACGGGGGGCCCTCAGAGGTGCGTGCTTAGTCCCCTCCTGTAGTCCCTGTTCACCCACGACTGCGTAGCCGTGTACGACTACAACACCATCATTAAGTTTGGTGACGACACGACGGTGGTAGGACTGATCACTGACGAGGCAGCCTATAGGGAGGAGGTCTGAGACCTGGTAGTATGGTGCCAGGACAACAACCTCTCCCTCAACGTGTGCAAGACAAAGGAGCTGATCGTGGACTACAGGAAAAGGAGGGGCGAGCACGCCCCCATCCACATCGATGGGGCTGTAGTGGAGCAGGTTGAGAGCTTCAAGTTCCTTGGTGTCCACATCACTAAGGAATTATCATGGTCCACACACACCAACACAGTCGTGAAGAGGGCACGACAACGCCTCTTCCCCCTCGAGGCTGAAAAGATTTAGCATGGGCCCTCAGATCCTCAAAATGTTCTACAGCTGCACCATTGAGAGCATCTTGACTGGCGGCATCACTGCTTGGTATGGCAACTGCTTGGCATCCGACCGCAAGGCGCTACAGAGGGTAGTGCGTATGGCCCAGAACATCACTGGGATCGAGCTCCCTGCCATCCAGGACCTCTATACCAGGCGGTGTCAGAGGAAGGCCCTAAAAATTGTCAGACTCCAGCCACTCAAGTCATAGACTGTTCTCTCTGATACCGCACGGCAAACGGTACCGATGCACCAAGTCTGGAACCAACAGGATCCTGAACATCTTCTAACCCCAAACCATAAGACTGCTAAATAGTTAGTCTGGGTAGCGATTGGCAAACTATTTAACTATCTACATTGACCCTTTTTGGACTAACTCTTTTGACTCATCACATACGCTGCTGTTTATTATCTATCCTGTTGCCTAGTGACTTTATTCCTACCTACAGTGCATTTGGAAAGTATTCAGGCCCCTTTACTTTTTCCACATTTTGTTACGTTACAGCCTTATTCTAAAATTGATTAAATTGTTTTTTCCCCTCATTAATCTACACACAATACCCCATAATGACAAATCAAAAACAGGTTTTTATACATTTTTGCAAATGTATAAATAATAAAAGACGGAAAATCACATTTACATACGTATTCAGACCCATTATTGAAACACCTTTGCTGTGATTACAGCCTTGAGTCTTCTTGGGTGTGACTCTTGGCAGACCTGTATTTGGGGAGTTTCTCCCATTTTTCTCTGCAGATCCTCTCAAGCTCTGTCAGGTTGGATGGGGAGCGTCGCTGCACAACTATTTTCAAGTCTCTCCAGAGATGTTCGATCGGGTTCAAGTCTGGGCTCTGGCTGGGCCACTCATGGACATTCAGAGACTTGTCCCGAAGCCACTTCTGCGTTGTTTTGGCTGTGTGCTTAGGGTCGTTGTCCTGTTGGAAGGTGAACCTTCGCCCCAGTCTGAGGTCCTGAGCGCTCTGGAGCAGGTTTTCATCAAGGCTCTCTCTGAACTTTGCTCCGTTCATCTTTCCCTCAATCCTGACTAGTCTCCCAGTCCCTACCGCTGAAAAACATCCCCACAGCATGATGCTGCCACCACCATGCTTCACCGTAGGGATGGTGCCAGGTTTCCTCCAGACGTGACGCTTGGCATTCAGGCCAAAGAGTTCAATCTTGGTTTCATCAGACCAGATAATCTTTTTTCTCATGGTCTGAGAGTCTTTAGGTGCCTTTTGGCAAACTCCAAGCGGGCTGTCATGTGCCTTTTACTGAGGAGTGGCTTCCGTCTGGCCACTCTACCATAAAGGCCTGATTGGTGGAGTGCTGCAGAGATGGTTGTCCTTCTGGAAGGTTCTCCCATCTCCACAGTAGAACTCTGGAGCTCTGTCAGAGTGACCATCGGGTTCTTGGTCACCTCCCTGACCAAGGCCCTTCTCCCCCAATTGCTCAGTTTGGCTGGGCGGCCAGCTCTAGGAAGAGTCTTAGTGGTTCCAAACTTCTTCCATTTAAGAATGATGGAGGCCACTCTTCTTGGGGACCTTCAATGCTGCAGAAATGTTTTGGTACCCATCCCCAGATCTGTGCCTCGACACAATCCTGTCTCTGAGCTCTACGGACAATTCCTTGGCCCCCCTGGCTTGGTATTTGCTCTGACATGTACTGTCAACTGTGGGACCTTTATATAGACAGGTGTGTCCCTTCCAAATCATGTCCAATCAATTGAATTTACAACAGGTGGACTCCAATCAAGTTGTAGAAACATCTCAAGGATGATCCATGAAACCCGGATGCTCCTGAGCTCAATATCGACTCTCATAGCAAAGGGTCTGAATACTTATGTTAATAAGGTATTTCTGTTTTTTATTTTTAATAAACCTGTTTTTGCTTTGTCGTTATGGTGTATTGTGTGTAGATTGATGAGGAAAATGTTTTATTTAATCAATTTTAGGAATAAGGCTGTAACGTAACAAAATGTGTAAAAAGTCATGGGGTCTGAATACTTTCCGAATGCACTGTATATGTACATATCTACCTCATACCCCTGCACATCGACTCTGTACTGGTACCTCATGTATATAGCCAAGTTATCGTTACTCATTGTGTATTTATTCCTCATGTTATTATTTTTCTATTATATATATTTTTACATTGTTGGGAAGGGCCCGTAAGTTAGCAGTTCACTGTTAGTCTACACTTGTTGTTTACGAACCATGTGACAAATACGATTTGATTTGATATTTCGGCTCAATTGAAAATTACCTTTAAATTTCAATCGCGCTGTAGTGCGGATCTTTAGCACAACAGATTTAATCAAGCCCTATGTTTAGTAGGATAAATACAGGTCCCGTGTAGCTCAGTTGGTAGAGCATGGCGTTTGCAACGCCAGGGTTGTGGGTTCGATTCCCACGGGGGTCCAGTATGAAAATATATGCACTCACTAACTGTAAGTCGCTCTGGATAAGAGCGTCTGCTAAATGACTAAAATGTAAAATAAAACAACCACTTATCACAGTTATTACAAGTAGACCCTTCTTTGAAATATCTGCTATTAGCAGAAGAAAACAAATGTTGTCAAACTATAGAATTTCATGTATTTTTATTTTTCTCTCCTCTAGAATGTAAAGGGTACTGAGAAATACATTGACCATTATGACATCGCCCCAAATAAAGTGTTCCTCTACTTCGCTGAGGTAAGACCTCTTGTATCCAAAGCCATGACATCAATGAGCATCAGCTATGACTACTGTACAACTCATATAGAATGATTCGCAAAAGAGTCCTCTCGTCCCTCTGACATTGTATTGTCGCTATGTATTCCAGATCACAGAGGAACCACAGTGTGTAGAGTTCCGGGCCAAACAGATCAGTCCCATGGGCCTGGTGCAGCCTGCTGCTGCAGTGGTCTATGACTACTACAATCCAGGTATACCACCATCTTTAGTTTAGGGTATGTTATGTCTATGGTTGTAAGGTATCTGGGAGGTCCATGGGGCTGGTGCAGCCTGGTCAAATGTAGCTCACAGTAAAGGGAATAGGGTGCCATATGGGACTCAGCCATTGTCTGAGTGACTAATGCTGAACTATGTCCCTACAGAGAGGAGATGCACTGTGTTCTACAGCTCACCCCAGAAGAGCAACATGATCTCCAAGATCTGTCAGGACAATATGTGCTCCTGTGCAGAGGGTATGTGCACTCCTTACAGCTTGTATTTTCAGGACAGAATATATATTTGTATAGCGTCTGAACTATTTTGTACTATTGTGAACTATTCTGTATCTATTTTTATTTGCATTGTCTCAGGTGGCTGCCCGAAGAAGAAAGTAACTTACAGTAAAGACATGAAGAAAGAGACTCGCAGGAGCTTTGCTTGTTTCTCTCCTACTGTAAATTATGGTGAGTTTATACCTCTAAGCCAAATATTATCTTCTTTCTAATGTGCTGTAGTCGGTACTAACACCACTTCATGTTGTCCTTCTGACAGTGTACATCATCAAGGTTGTCAACTCATCCGATGACGGAGTCTTTAAACATTATACCACATTAGTGACCAAAATCCTACAGACAGGTGAGTGTTCTACAATATTACAGTCTGCATCCCAAATGGTAGACTATTTCTTATAGTGTACTACTTTGGATGGGCCCTGGTCAAAAGTAGTACACTATATAGGGAAAAGAGTGCCATTTGGTAAGTAAACATTCTCTTGAAGTATAATTTCCTTTCCATTCTTGTTGTGCTGGTTCTCTGCTACGCCAGGTAAAGATGTGATGCAGACTGGAGCAGTGAGAGACATGATCAAACGTAAAGCCTGTGATGAGTTTGACATGAATACTGAAAGTAACTACCTGATCATGGGGAGAGATGGGACGATCTCTGACACCACTGACCACAGTGGGAAGTAAGTGATGGGATGCGTCCCAAATGGCACCCTATTCCCTATATAGTGCACTACTTTTAACCAGGGTTCATAGGGCTCTGGTCAAAAGTAGTGCACCATGTTATAAAAATAATAATAATTAGGTGGGTGTTATTATATGTGCTATTTCACATGTACAAGTGTGTACTATACGCATGTGTGAATCGTACATTTGTTTTTTGCATATCTCAACTCCCCCTGAGACACCTTCGGAGGGTGGTGTCACGGCCAGGGTCAAAAGTAGTGCACCATGTATGGAATAGGGTGCCATTTGGGACATAAAGTCTTCCTTTTCAATTAACTATACAGTATGTGTCAATATATTGTAAGACAACATTTATATAATACATGGAATCATCAGGTAAAAAATACAGCATAGAGGATATTTATTACAATATTGTTGAATTGAGATATTGTAAAAGTATATCACTACTTGGGCCCTAGATTGTGATTTCTCTATTGGGAAATGTACAGTATACAGTTGAAGTCGGTAGTTTACATACACTTAGGTTGGAGTCATTAAAACTTGTTTTTCAACCACTCCACAAATGTCTTGTTAACAAACGATAGTTTTGGCAAGTCGGTTAGGCTTTAGAAGCTTCTGATAGGCTAATTGAAATCATTTGAGTCAATTGGAGGTGTATCTGTGGATGTATTTCAAGGCCTACCTTCAAACTCAGTGCCTCTTTGCTTGACATCATGGGAAAATCAAAAGAAACCAGCCAAGACCTCAGAAAAAAAATTGTAGACCTCCACAAGTCTGGTTCATCCTTGGGAGCAATTTCCAAACGCCTGAAGGTACCACGTTCATCTGTACAAACAATAGTACGCAAGTATAAACACCATTGGACCACGCAGCCGTCATACCGCTCAGGAAGGAGATGCGTTCTGTCTCCTAGAGATGAACGTACTTTGGTGCGAAAAGTGCAAATCAATCCCAAAACAACAGCAAAGGACCTTGTGAAGATGCTGGAGGAAACCGGTACAAAAGTATCTATATCCACAGCAAAACAAGTCCTATATCGACATAACCTGAAAGGCCGCTCAGCAAGGAAGAAGCCACTGCTCCAAAACCGCCATATAAAAGCCAGACTGCGGTTTGCAACTGCAAAGATCGTACTTTTTTGAGAAATGTCCTCTGGTCTGATGAAACAAAAATAGAACTGTTTGGCCATAATGACCATCGTTATGTTTGGATGAAAAAGGGGGTACCTTGCAAGCCAAAGAACACCATCCCAACCGTGAAGCACGGGGGTGGCAGCATCATGCTGTGGGGGTGCTTTGCTGCAGGAGGGACTGGTGCACTTCACAAAATAGATGGCATCATGAGGAAGGAAAATTATGTGGATATATTGAAGCAACATCTCAAGACATCAGTCAGGAAGTTAAAGCTTGGTCGCAAATGGGTCTTCCAACTGGACAATGACCCCAAGCATACTTCCAAAGTTGTGGCAAAATGGCTTATGAACAACAAAGTCAAGGTATTGGAGTGGCCATCACAAAGCCCTGACCTCAATCCTATAGAAAATGTGTGGGCAGAACTGAAAAAGTGTGTGCGAGCAAGGAGGCCTACAAACATGACTCCGTTACACCAGCTCTGTCCGGAGTAATGGGCCAAAATTCACCCAACTTATTGTGGGAAGCTTGTGGAAGGCTACCCGAAACGTTTGACCCAAGTTAAACAATTTAAAGGCAATGCTACCAAATACTAATTGAGTGTATGTAAACGTATGACCCACTGGGAATGTGATGAAAGAAATAAAAGCTGAAATAAATCATTCTCTCTACTATTATTCTGGCATTTCACATTCTTAAAATAAAGTGGTGATCCTAACTGACCTAAGACAGGGAATTTCTACTAGGATTAAATGTCAGGAATTGTGAAAAACTGAGTTTAAATGTATTTGGCTAAGGTGTATGTAAACTTCTGACTTCAACTGTATGTACAGTGTAGAATGGGAGACTATTCCAGTGCAGTTTGAGTAAGATACTCCAATGCTGTCCACCCTAGGCCTGTATAACTAAATGTTATCCTACCCACACCTGTATAATTAAATGTTATCCTACCCACACCTGTATAACTAAATGTTATCCTACCCACACCTGTATAACTAAATGTTGTCTACCCCAGGACTGTATTACTAAATGCTGTCTTCTGTAGGCCTGTCTATGTCCTGGATAATGAGATGTGGATGGAGAAGATTCCAGAGGAGAGGAAGTGTAAAGCTACTAAGAACCGTAAAGCCTGTAACATGCTCAAGGACTTCATGAAACAGTACGAGATCAACCAGTGTTCAATATAGCCCTTGGTTGCCTTCGGTGAACATCCAGATATACAGTTGAAGTCAGAAGTTTACATACACTTAGGTTGGAGTCATTAAAACTCGTTTTTCAACCACTCCACAAATGTCTTGTTAACAAACGATAGTTTTGGCAAGTCGGTTAGGACATCTACTTTGTGCATGACACAAGTAATTTTTCCAACAATTGTTTACAGACAGATTATTTCACTTATAATTCACTGTATCACAATTCCAGTGGGTCAGAAGTTTACATACACTAAGTTGACTGTGCTTTTAAACAGCTTGGAAAATTCCAGACAATGATGTCATGGCTTTAGATGCTTCTAATAGGCTAATTGACATAATATGAGTCAATTGGAGGTGTACCTGTGGATGTATTTCAAGGCCTACCTTCAAACTCAGTTCCTCTTTGCTTGACATCATGGGACAATCAAAAGAAATCAGCCAAGACCTCAGAAAAAAAATTGTAGACCTCCACAAGTCTGGTTCATCATTGGGAGCAATTTCCAAATGCCTAAAGGTTCCACGTTCATCTGTGCAAACAATAGTACGCAAGTATAAACACCATGGGACCACGCAGCCGTCATACCGCTCTCCTAGAGATGAACGTACTTTGTTGCGAAAAGTGCAAATCAATCCCAGAACAACAGCAAAGGAACGTGTGAAGATGCTGGAGGAAACGGGTACAAAAGTATCTATATCCAAAGTATAACAAGTCCTATATCGACATAACCTGAAAGGCCGCTCAGCAAGGAAGAAGCCACTGCTCCAAAACCGCAATAAAAAAGCAAGACTACGGTTTGCAACTGCACATGGGGACAAAGATCGTACTTTTTGGAGAAATGTCCTCTGGTCTGATTAAACAAAAATAGAACTGTTTGGCCATAATGACCATTGTTATGTTTGGAGGAAAAAGGGGGTTGCTTGCAAGCCGAAGAACATCATCCCAACTGTGAAGCACGGGGGTGGCAGCATCATGCTGTGGGGGTGCTTTGCTGCAGGAGGGACTGATGCACTTCTCAAAATAGATGGCATCATGAGGAAGGAAAATTATGTGGATATATTGAAGCAACATCTCAAGACATCAGTCAGGAAGTTAAAGCTTGGTCGCAAATGGGTCTTTCAAATGGACAATGACCCCAAGCATACTTCCAAAGTTGTGGGAAAATGGCTTAAGGACAACAAAGTCAAGGTATTGGAGTCGCCATCACAAAGCCCTGACCTCAATCCTATAGAAAATGTGTGGGCAGAACTGAAAAAGCGTGTGCGAGCAAGGAGGCCTACAAACCTGACTCCGTTACACCAGCTCTGTCAGGAGGAAAGGGCCAAAATTCACCCAACTTATTGTGGGAAGCTTGTGGAAGGCTACCCGAAACGTTTGACCCAAGTTAAACAATTTAAAGGCCAAGCTACCAAATACTAATTGAGTGTATGTACATTTCTGACCCACTGGGAATGTGATGAAAGAAATAAAAGCTGAAATAAATCATTCCCTCTACTATTATTCTGACATTTCCTCTAGAAAAAAATCTTAAAAAAAATCTGACATTTCACATTCTTAAAATAAAGTGATGATCCTAACTGACCTAAGACAGGGAATTTTTACTAGGATTAAATGTCAGGAATTGTGAAAAACTGAGTTTGAATGTATTTGGCTAAGGTGTATGTAAACTTCAGACTTCAACTGTAAAATGTTTGTCTGTCATTGAGAATAGGGAAATATGTCGGCTCTATGCAACACATTTCTATCCGAAACGTTCCAGAAAGTTGTGCCTCCTGAACATCACGTGACCCAGGATGACTGTCATGGACATCAACAGAGCGAGAGACTGTGATACAGAGAAGGATATATTTTTAGTATGAATAGAGGAAAGCAGAAAGCACACTCAGTATCTCCATAAACCATGTGCTTTTATTACCAGTGCATATTCACAGAGAAAATAGAAACAAGATTGAGTGACATATTGTTGAAATACAAAGGTTACAGATAGTGATGATGTGTCTAATACTCCTTAATCAAACAAACTGTGATTGGCTACACAGTCTGTCTGGCTGCTGTTTGGCATAATGACGTCAGAGAGGTTATAGAGACTGTTGTGGCACCAAGGGTGCTTTGTTACAGCGGTGAACACCAGGGGGAGTGAGAGCACTATAGCTCATCTAATGCTAATGTTTCCCTCAGGACAATATTGATATAAATTGGTAATGAAATGCCATAACCTGGTAATGAACTGTTATAACCCAGCAATTAAATGATAACCTTGTAATGAACTGTTATAACCTGGTAATGAACTGTGATAACCAGGCAATGAAACGTTATAACTCTAGTCCTTTAACACACGCTGAAGCTGTTGATACATTCCCACTGTGGCTTCAGCTTCTGAAGACAAACTATATAAATGGTAATTCTACTGTTGACAGTGTTTTTAAGACTGAAAACCAGAAGTTAGTAAAAATATCTAATGTAGTTTTGCATGTTCAATAACACTAAGTAATATAATCATGGGTATTGGTTTTCAATATGTACTCCAACTTTTGTCACATTTCACAACCCACTTGTATTAATTTTTTGGCAAATCAAATCTTACAAATTCTAAATCTGCACTGTTCTACTCTAACAAATCCCCTCAAAATGGCTAGGGTTTTTTACTGTATATGGAGACATGACAAAAGCGTGAATTTCTAAAAAATAAAACAAAAACACATCAAATTAGAAAAATAATTTGTAAATGCTGAGCTAGTGTATAAAATAAATTAGCAATTCCATTTTTCATTTTTGTACTTTTTAAAAAGAACAGATATTAACAAAGTTCATAATAATTGTGCTGCTCACATCTGCAATAATCATGACACATATCTATTCTCCAGCTGAACTCCTGTTTTAAAAAGCACACTTTAGGACAGCTGCCATACTTAGTTAGAAACGCTGGAATGCTAGACTGCTGTTCTCGGAATAATCAAAAGATATGCGTTTTAAAATCAAAGCACAGATAAAGCTGCATAATGATCCATTATATACAGTATACAGTTATGCATATACAGTACATACAGCAAATCAATGCACAGATGGTGATGACGTTTTATATGTGAGATGGCTTTAGGTTAAGTCAGTTTGTTCTTCGATAAAACGGAAAGAGATTTTATGTTTCAAAAGCTTTTGCTTTGCGTGGTTGGTTGGTTTCACTCTAAGCACATTGTTCGTTGCACTTAGATCATGGAGAAGAAACAACGTATGAGTTCATAAACTCCACTGTTATGTTGTCCTGTCTGAGCTGACAAGGTAAAGATAATACTTCATGCATTGGGACCAGCTCCTTCACAACATGGCTCAATTATTATACATGTACTTCAATCTATCACTGATCTGGTCTCATAATATCAGTCACAGTATATACACACTTCATACCTCCTTCATACCTCCTCGTAGTTTTACATCGATGACTGAACAAAGAGGTAAATACACTCTACACACTTAGGATGTATCCCAAATGGCACCCTATTCCCTACATAGTGCACTACTTTTGACCAGAGCCCAATTGGCCCTGGTCAAAAGTAGTGCACTACACAAGGAATAGGGTGCTATTTCGGACACACAACTCCATAACACACACCACAGGGAGGAGTCAACTGGGGTTATATTGTTACTTCATGATGTTTGGGGGGTTCAGAGAACACTAACCGGATGACGTGGATCTGATCAGATGTGCAAATCAAAGGGACATCAAAGGGAAATCTCATTGCACCTGTATATTATGTATAGTACATTGGTTTGTGTCGTTGCTCAGTGCTAGCACGTGCTCTGACCTGGGGGCAAAAATACATAAATTAGATCAAATGCTTTCCAATACTTCAAGTGCTGCACTTGATTTGGTTTGCCTGAACCAATGGAGCAGTCCCAAAAGTGCAAACTCAAATAAATAGGTAAATCAAGCACATCTCAAACACTTTTCAAATACTTTCAAGTATTTGACCACTTTTTCTTTCTTTTTTTACCCAGGTCAGGCTGTGGTTGGTTTGTCTGTCCGGACCAGATCTGGGGTTTATCCCAAATAGCAATATATTCCCTATATAGTGCACTACTTTTGACCAAACCCTATATAGTGCACTATGAAGGGAATAGGGGGCCATTTGGGATGCACCCTGGTAGTGGTAGGCCTGCAACAGACCGTCCCTAAAGCAATGGTTCTACCTACTGCAGGTAGCGGTAAACCTTGAAGCAGTGGTTGCCAGAGTCAGCCACAGCCACGTGTCCATCAGAGGTGAGAGACAGGCCCTGTGGACCATAGAGAGGGTCTGCTGTGGTGTTGATGTAGGACAGGAACGACCCGGAACTATCAAACACCTGCAGGACAAAATCAAGGTCAGGGTCAGCTGTACTCATAATAAGTTACATTACTTATGATCATATTATTTTTGATCTAACTCAAAAGAGTAAATACAAAAGAATGACTAATGCTGCTTGTTAAGTTCATCATTAACTGACCTGTATTCTGCTGTTCCCCCAGTCGGCAACGATGATGTTCCCGTTGGCGTCCACGGCAACGCCCGTTGGGGCGTTGAATTGTCCGTTCCCCTCGCCATGGGAACCAAACTTAAACAGGAACTCTCCGTCTGCACTGTACACCTATTAGGGAATGGATTCAAACGGTTCAGAAGTAGTGTGCCCAAACCCTAGCTTCATTTCCACATCTTGGTTCAACCCTAACTCTAACCTCAACCACAACCACAACCCTAGCTTCAGGTCCACATCCAGGTTCAATCCTAACCCTAGCCTCAAGCACAACCTTAAACCACAACCCTAACCTAAACTGTTCAGAGGTGGTCTACTATGCACATCCAACAGTTACCATAATATAGTTTGGGGATTTCTATTCCTTTCATTTGGAATGATTCAAACTGACATCAGACACCCAACAGTGGGAGTGGGACGTTTTCCTGTGGCACAGTGACATACAGTAACTACAGGATGGCAGTGAGGGAGTGACATAAAGCTGCAACAACAGAACGCTGAAGGCCTGAAGTCAAAGCATTTTAAACCAACCTGATTTGACTACAGTAACGATAGACACACACACACACACAGAGAATAGTGAGACGTACCTTCACTGAATGGTTGTGGAAGTCTGTTACCACAATCTCATTTTTGTTGTTGATCGCCACAAAGTGGGGACCTAGGGTAGGGTAGGGAAGGGGAGGGAGAGATAGAGAGGGAGAAGAGAGAGGGAGGAGAGAGGATGAGTCATCAACATAACAGTGCAGTAGAGGAAGTTCCAGACCATTTTAGGACTTTGTACACAACAAGACTATGGAAACACTAGTCACAAAGGGAAACACCAAGCAATGTACAATGTGAGACACGGCAATGGGCAGTTGTATCATGAAGAGACTGCTATACCATACATCAATACTTACTGAATGCAGGGCCAGATTTACTCAGCTTGGGTTCCAGTGAAATGTTTGTACCACTTTTTTCTAAAACAATAAACAAAAAAAGGTCAAAGTCAGAGATAAGATTGAAATGAGTTAAAGGTTTCTCCATGTAGCAGGGGGAGCCATATCATTGGAGGATTATAGAAATGGAAGAGAATCACATTGACCAAAGAGTGAAAAGCAGAAAGGAGAAGACAAGGTTTTTTCCCCCAGTCCCTGCAAACTGTCTGAAAATCAAAGGGACAGCTATGGGAAAGCTCATTACATATATTATGTATAGTACATTGGTTTGTGTCTTGCTCAGTGCTAGCTGTGCCCAGACCTGGTGCAAATCGCAAATACAGTATACTGTATATGTCAAATACTTTCACTTGCACAGTGCTTGTCTTGGTTTGCCTGGTACAATAGAACAGGAATTGTTCCAAAAATAGTGACAAACAGTGGAATAAGTCCCAAAACTGCAAAACCACAGATAGATCAAGCAATGAGTGTCTCCCCTACCTGTGAACTGTCTGTCTGAAGTCCCCCTGGCTCCAAACTTGGTGACCAGCTTCCCGTTGGCCTGGAAGATGAACACGCAGCAGGCCTTGTTATCCACAGTGATGATGTGTCCGTTCCTGTCCACCGCCACACCCTTAGGGCCCATTAGACGACCCGCCCCGATCTTACTCTGTCACGGAGAGAATGGAGGGTCAGAGGGATGGAGAGGGAGAGATGTGAATTGTGATGTGATGAGTCTTATCTGACGTGCAAATCAAAGGGGCAGCTATGGGAAAGCTCAGTGCACCCTGTATGTATAGAACATACAAGGAGAGGGGATATAGTAGAGACTGTTTAATGTTGACGTTTCAGCTCGATGTCTTTCTCAAGACCAGTCTCCTAGAGTGACCTCATGACCTCTCACCTTGAACTTCCCGTCGGAGGAGAAGATGCTGACCCAGCGGTTGTCGTAGTCGGCCACGATGATGTCACCGTTCATATCCACGGTGACCCCCGTTGGGCGCTGCAGTTGACCCGGCGACCGACCCCTGACCCCAAACCTCAGCTTGAATGCCCCATCGTTGGAGAACACCTGGAGAAGAATACCACAACAACAACACTCAGAAACAGATTTGAAATTACCTTTTTCTTCAGGGACAATAAGGAATAGCGTGGCATTTAAGATTTGCCCTGAAATATGTGCTTGACCTGTGATACTTTGATTGAAACTATAGCCTTAACCTAATACCTTTTCTGCTTTGCATCCATTAATTTAGTACCTCATCCCACTCTGCACGATGTCACTTCCACACATGGTTACCTTTCTCTCAATGGTTGTATGCTGTGGTGTAAAGTACTTAAGTAAAAATACTTTAAAGTACTACTTAAGTCGTTTTTACTTCACTACATTCCTAAAGAAAAGTATGTACTTTTTACTCCATACTTTTTCCCTGACACCGAAAAGTACTCGTTACATTTTGAATGCTTAGCAGGACAGGAAAATGGTCCAATTAACACAAGAAAATCAAGAGAACATCCCTGGCCTTCCCTACTGCCTCTGATCTGGCGGACTCACAAAACACAAATGCTTCATTTGTAAATGATGTCTGATTGTTGGTGTGCCCCTGGCTTTCCGTTAAAAAAAGGGGAAAAAAGACATTTGTGCTGTCTGGTTTCTTAATATAAGGAATTTGAAATGATTTATACCTTTACTTTTACTTTTGATACTTAAGAATATTTCAAACCAAATACTTTTAGACTTTTACTCAAGTAGTATTTTACTGGGTGACTTTCACTTTTACTTGAGTCATTTTCTATTAAGGTATCTTGACTTTTACTCAAGTATGACAATTGGGTACTTTTTCCACCACTGGTTGTATGGTTGTAGTCTCACCTGTATACACTGGTTGTTGCTGTCAGCCACTACGATGCGTCCGTTGCTGGAGGTGGAGATTCCCTGGAGGTTTGTAAACTCTGCTTTATCTCTCCCTCTGGTTCCTGTCAAATACACACATACAGTAAGAACACTGAGTCAAACCATCACACATACAGTAAGAACACTGAGTCAAACCATCACACATCCAGTAAGAACACTGAGTCAAACCATCACACATCCAGTAAGAACACTGAGTCAAACCATCACACATACAGTAAGAACACTGAGTCAAACCATCACACATACAGTAAGAACACTGAGTCAAACCATCACACATACAGTAAGAACACTGAGTCAAACCATCACACATACAGTAAGAACACTGAGTCAAACCATCACACATACAGTAAGAACACTGAGTCTCAGTGTCCATGGACCAAAGGGCTAAATAGCAGAGTCACAAGTTATCACAGAGAGACCTCAAAAGCAGTGAAACAAAGTGTGAGTATTTTCCTTCTTTTCCCACAGCATTGTCTGTACCCTGCAGCCTGCACTGAGAAAACAAAGAGAGCTATTATCCAACTTGATCGTTATATGTAGTTGTCTTACTTTAGTCTTACTGTACCTACTTCAGTTGCATACACTGCCTCTGGATACGAGCGTAAAATAACAAGTCAAATGTGAATGTCTTCATCAGTAACATTGCTTAAATAAACTATGGGAGCATTGAACCAATGTATTAGTATTGCCTTCTTTTCCCCATGGCCTGTTTTGTACCATGCAGGCTTTTGAACTGATTATCAAAGAGTAGCAAAGAAAGTTGTTTTGGAAAATGTTTTTACTAGCAATTTGCAATCGTGACTGTCTTACCTACTTTAGTTAAATCCACTTATTTCAAGTCATAGGATAAGATAATCACCTAAATGACTCAAATATAAAGATGAGTAGCTGTACGACAGAGTTAGACTAATATTAGTAGGTATTACATGTCTCTATGATCTGCACCCACCGACTCTGTAGATGAGTTCATCCTCGATGGGGTTCTCCTTCTTCTTGGTGGTGCTGTACATACTGGAGGGTCTCCTCACAGCCTTCTGTCTGATGTGGCCCCCTGTCCCACTAGGACTCTTCACCCTCCTCTTCACATCGTCTGGAGACTGCAGGACGTCCGAGGGTTTGACCGCACGCAGCCGGAATGGACTGCCCCTGACCGGCTGGTCGTACAGGAGGAGAGAGAAGGAGAACTCCCCCTCAGAGCGCATGGTGTAGCCCACCTGCAGAATATTTTGGAACAGACCCTTATCAGGCACGTCGAGGGGAATATAGTCTTAGACAGACTGTACTGCTGTATACAAAATAAACACTGTACATTAAACACTTGACACAATACAAATTGCATAGATTACATACATTACACAATACATATATTGCAAGTTATGATGTCATATACAAAGTACAATTATCCTCACCTCATACGTCCCATTCTTATTATCTACCACCTCTGTCTCCATGGTTACCGCCCCGTCCACCGACACAATCTCGGCCTGCAGTGCCGCGTTGCCCGTCTTCACCAGCTCGCTGTCCTTGTCCTTGGTCGTCACGGTGACGGTGGTGTGCTGGCCAACCAGGGTGTGGCGTAGTCCCTCTCCCGTGGCGACAGAGGTGTGGCCTACGGCTCCCGTGGTGATGAGCACGCCCAGGTTCTGGATGGAACGACGAAGACCCTCCGTCTCCACCTGGCAGTCAAGATGACCGTTCTCATGGGGCTGGGAGGGGGCAAGGGCAGGTTTGTTACGTATAACCAGCATCCTTATGGCTTTGTCCCGAATGGCAACCTATTCCGTATATAGTGCACTACTTTTGACCGGGGCCCATTTGGGACGTAACCTATATATACGTACATAATTTATGTGAAACAAACAAACAAATCAATGAATGTGTCCACAGACCTGTTCTGGGTAGGTGTGTCGGGCCAGGGCGCTGACCCTCTCTCCCATCTGTTTCTGGACCAGCAGAACCTCTGTAGCACTGCCATGGCTAAGAGCCTGCTCCGTAAAACTACTGCAGCTCTGGATGTTGTCCTTACCCTGCAGGAGAGAGGACAGCTGGGCCTGGAGCACCTACAGACAGAGAGAAGAGGAGAGATGCTAAGAGAGGGAGGAGAGGAGGGAGTTGGAGACAGGGAGATAGTTGGAGACAGGGAGGAGAGGAGGGAGTTGGAGACAGGGAGATAGTTGGAGACAGGGAGGAGAGGAGGGAGTTGGAGACAGGGAGATAGTTGGAGACAGGGAGGAGAGGAGGGAGTTGGAGACAGGGAGATAGTTGGAGACGGAGGAGAGGAGGGAGTTGGAGACAGGGAGATAGTTGGAGACAGGGAGGAGAGGAGGGAGTTGGAGACAGGGAGATAGTTGGAGACAGGGAGGAGAGGAGGGAGTTGGAGACAGGGAGATAGTTGGAGACAGGGAGGAGAGGAGGGAGTTGGAGACAGGGAGATAGTTGGAGACAGGGAGGAGAGAGATAGTAAGAGACAGGGAGGAGAGGAGAGAGAGAATGGTAGGTAGGTAGTCAGAAACAGAGTGAAGAGAGAGGGAGAAAAAGAGGTAAGACCGAGAGAGAAAGAGAGTAAGAGAGCGATAGTTCTTCATAGACCATCATTGTCCCAAATGACCCCCTATTCCCTATATAGTGCCCTACTTTGACCAGAGCCTTATGGGCCCTGGTCAAAAATAGTGCATTAAATATGAAATGGGGTGCCATTTGGGACAGCAGACCTAATCCTGTTGCAGGTACCTTCTGCTTGGTGCAGCAGATGTTCTCCAGGTCACTGATGAGGTCGGTCTTTCTGAGGTGTAGCGCCCTCTCTAGCTCCTCAAAGGTACTGCTGATCTCTGTCACTGCCTCGTTCTTCCTGTCAGTCAGCTGCTTGGAGATCTCCCCTACCAGCTCTATAGCAGCCCTCAGCTGGGGCAGCCTGGGACAGGAAGAGGAAACAGTATACTGTCACTACCTCACACAGTCCAATCAACTGAAGACCATGAACAGAGGAACTGACTAAATGTGTGTGCAATTTCTATCGACCTTCAGTCCTCCATGAGAAGCTGAAACCCAGAGACTGGAAAACTGTACTTTATCATTGCACTTACCAAGACTTATCCAGTGTGTACACAGTGGTCAATGTATTCAGAATAGGGCTTTAACGACCCTAAAACCGTCCCTCATTACAGACAGAGCAGTATAGACAAACTGCAAAAATCTCTGAAGCTGGAGACTCTTATCTCCCTCACTAACGTTAAGCATCAGTTGTCAGAGCAGCTTACCGATCACTGCACCTGTACACAGCCCATCTGTAATTAGCCCACCCAACTACCTCATCCCCATATTGTTATTTATTTTGCTCATTTGCACCCCAGTATCTCTATTTGCACATCATCTCTTGCACATCTATCATTCCAGTGTTAATACTAATTGTAATTATGTTGCACTATGGCCTATTTATTGCCTTACCTCCATAACTTGCTACATTTGCACACACTGTATATACAATGCTCCAAAAAAATTAAGGGAACACTTAAACAACACAATGTAACTCCAAGTCAATCACACTTCTGTGAAATCAAACTGTCCACTTAGGAAGCAACACTGATTGACAATACATTTCACATGCTGTTGTGCAAATGGAATAGACAACAGGTGGAAATTATAGGCAATTAGCAAGACAACCCCAATAAAGGACTGGTTTTGCAGGTGGTGACCACAGACCACTTCTCAGTTCCTATGCTTCCTGGCTGATGTTTTGGTCACTTTTGAATGCTGGCGGTGCTTTCACTCTAGTGGTAGCATGAGACGGAGTCTACAACCCACACAAGTGGCTCAGGAAGTGCAGCTCATCCAGGATGGCACATCAATGCGAGCTGTGGCAAGAAGGTTTGCTGTGTCTGTCAGCGTAGTGTCCAGAGCATGGAGGCGCTACCAGGAGACAGGCCAGTACATCAGGAGACGTGGAGGAGGCCGTAGAAGGGCAACAACCCAGCAGCAGGACTGCTACCTCCGCCTTTGTGCAAGGAGGAGCAGGAGGAGCACTGCCAGAGCCCTGCAAAATGACCTCCAGCAGGCCACAAATGTGCATGTGTCTGCTCAAACAGTCAGAAACAGACTCCATGAGGGTGGTATGAGGGCCCGACGTCCACAGGTGGGGGTTGTGCTTACAGCCCAACACCGTGCAGGACGTTTGGCATTTGCCAGAGAACACCAAGATTGGCAAATTCGCCACTGGCGCCCTGTGCTCTTCACAGATGAAAGCAGGTTCACACTGAGCACATGTGACAGACGTGACAGAGTCTGGAGACGCCGTGGAGAACGTTCTGCTGCCTGCAACATCCTCCAGCATGACCGGTTTGGCGGTGGGTCAGTCATGGTGTGGGGTGGCATTTCTTTGGGGGGCCGCACAGCCCTCCATGTGCTCGCCAGAGGTAGCCTGACTGCCATTAGGTACCGAGATAAGATCCTCAGACCCCTTGTGAGACCATATGCTGGTGCGGTTGGCCCTGGGTTCCTCCTAATGCAAGACAATGCTAGACCTCATGTGGCTGGAGTGTGTCAGCAATTCCTGCAAGAGGAAGGCATTGATGCTATGGACTGGCCCGTCTGTTCCCCAGACCTGAATCCAATTGAGCACATCTGGGACATCATGTCTCGCTCCATCCACCAACACCACGTTGCACCACAGACTGTCCAGGAGTTGACGGATGCTTTAGTCCAGGTCTGGGAGGAGATCCCACAGGAGACCATCCTCCACCTCATCAGGAGCATGCCCAGGCGTTGTAGGGAGGTCATACAGGCACGTGGAGGCCACACACACTACTGAGCCTCATTTTGATTTGTTTTAAGGACATTACATCAAAGTTGGATCAGCCTGTAGTGTGGTTTTCCACTTTAATTTTGAGGGTGACTCCAAATCCAGACCTCCATGGGTTGATACATTTGATTTCCATTGATAATTTTTGTGTGATTTTGTTGTCAGCACATTCAACTATGTAAAGAAAAAAGTATTTAATAAGATTATTTCATTCATTCAGATCTAGGATGTGTTATTTTAGTGTTATCTTAATTTTTTTGAACAGTGTATATTTTCTGTTGTATTTTTGACTATGTTTTGTTTTACCCCATATGTAACTCTGTGTTGTTGTTTTTATCGCACTGCTTTGCTTTATCTTGGCCAGGTCGCAGTTGTAAATGAGAACTTGTTCTCAACTGGCTTACCTGGTTAAATAAAGGTGAAATAAAAAAAATTAAAAAATTATAGACAGGTTTACCATCCAGTACCTGTTGCGTATGGCATCCAACTGGGTCTTAAGGGCTGCTTTCTGTTGCTCCAAGACATCTCTCAGAGGGACAGTCACATGTTCCCTGTGCTCTCCCTCAGTACACTCCAGACACATGGCTGTTTCACACGATTCGCAGTAGAACTCCATCACCTACAGGGGGCGCATGGGAGCAACACACAGCACAGCTCAACACACGATGACTCACCATAGACCAGGCATGTTCATTCATACAGTGACAAGGTCAACATGAATACGTTTACTCCATTTTTAGGGGCTTGTAATTGGTGTGAATCCACACCCCTGAACAATACTCTCACTTCAATAGAAAACTGCCAATTTCGTCCCTCAGTCCTTTTTCCTTCAAGTCAGATTCGTACTGATTTAGCTAGTCCATGGCCCATATCCACAAAGAGACATGGGCCAGGGATGATCTAGGATCAGTTTGGCCTTTTAGATCATAATGAATAAGATTATATGGATAGGCAGGACTTGATCCTAGATCAGCACTCTTACTCTGAGTCGCTTTGTGGATACGGGCCCGGATCTAAAATCAGTTGTGTGCACTAAATCAGTCAGTGACACCAATGTATCATCAATTAGACTGAAGCCTACCTTTCCCGCTTTGTTGGGGCAGGAGAGTTGCAGCAGAGGGGCAGTAGAGGGGTAGATGGGGCAGTAGAGGGGTAATAGAAGCATACCTTGCCCTCGTGGTTGGGGCAGGAGAGCGGCTGGCAGGCGGCAGCAGCACTGACTGACTCCAGCACACTGCAGGCCTCTGGGGGGGAACACTCTGGGTCCCTCTGCAGCACTTCCATCAGGTTGGTTATGAAGAAGTTGTTCTGCAGTGCGGCCACGCCCTTCTCTGGCAGGATGGACGTCTGACGACACACTGGACACGATAACGTCAGAGACTGAGGGGGGATGTAGTTCTGTAGGCATCTGGAAAAGACAGGAGAGAAGAACAGGGATGGCTTGTTATAAACTATGTCAAGTTGATGGTTATGGTTCATTACATTTAGACAAATGTCAACCCTTTCAATAATTGGCACCAATACTAAGGGTCAAGTCAAGGCTCTTACAACATTGCAGCCTACTACAGCCAGTACATATATACGTATATTTCCTGAAGATTATGTGAACAGAACAGACAGGGCAGAGGACAGGGCAGACATCAGTGAGCTGTGTCAGGCAATACGGAGAGCGGAGAGCTCGCTCAGGCTGATGAGAGCATTCCTGTCAAGTGAGGGTAGCAGGGGTGGAAAGAGCTGCTAGCTGGCAGCATCACTGTAGACTGTGCCACCTCCTCTGTGTTCTCCCTTCTCTCTCCTTCTCTCTTCCTCCATCTCTCTCTGTCTCTCCAGGTGAAGAGGTGTGTGTGCCCCGTCCTCCCCCTGTGAATGTCTGTTGAGATGGATGAGATGGATGAAGCAGCAGTACTGTGGCACCATCAGGAGAATGCACCCTGCTCTCCCTCCACCAGGCCTGGAGAGGCTGCCTGTCACCTTAAGTCACAGGGAAGCCAAGCTGCTAAGGAAATCCCTGGCATACAGTACCAGTATCCTCTCTGACTTTATGCCATAACACATATTTGACTCTCTCATGACTTTATGCTGTAAGAATTCTCTCTCTCTCAAACCATTACCTCATGCCCTGACCTAATTCAACAACTCATTATTGCAGGGCAGGAATTACATTTTTCTTCTTAGATTAAAATAAGTGAGAAATACTGTACATCTGGTAAAGTAGTTTTGCAAAGACCAAATAGAGTTAATTTTCTCCTACACACAGTAGACTATGATGCACAAAAATCTATCAGAACCCAGCAGGACCTTGGGGTTGTGCCAGTAGTTAGAGTTAGGGAGAGGTAGGGGAAGAGATAGGAAGGGTTCAAATTACTTCTCACTAGGGCTGACCCCATTTAGTCGACTGGACGATTGTTTGGACGATTGTTTGGTCGATAGGCTTTTTTTCGACCGATATTTCTTTAGTCGAGCAGTAGCAAATAAATAAATGAATAATAATAATTATTATTATTAATAATAAATAAATGTATATAAAAGTCAAACGTTTGGACACACCTACTCATTCAAGGGTTTTTCTTTATTTTTACTATTTTTTACGTTGTAGAATAATAGTGAAGACATCAAAACTATGAAATAACACATGGAATCATGTAGTAACCAAAAAAATGTTAAACAAATCAAAATATTTTATATTTGAGATTCTTCAAATAGCCACCTGTTGCCTTGATGACAGCTTTGCACACTCTTGGCATTCTCTCAACCAGCTTCATGAGGTAGTCACCTGGAATGCATTTCAATTCAAAGGTGTGCATTCTACATTTCTACCGGTCTAATGTCCATTGCTCGTGTAAATCTCTTATTATTATTGGTGTCCTTTAGTAGTGGTTTCTTTGCAGCAATTCGACCATGAAGGCCTGATTCACACAGTCCCCTCTGAATAGTTGATGTTGAGATGTGACTGTGACTTGAACTCTGTGAAGCATTTACAGTGAGGGAAAAAAGTATTTGATCCCCTGCTGATTTTGTACGTTTGCCCACTGACAAAGACATGATCAGTCTATAATCTTAATGGTAGGTTTATGTGAACAGTGAGAGACAGAATAACAACAAAATAATCCAGAAAAACGCATGTCAAAAATGTTTTAAATTGATTTGCATTTTAATGAGGGAAATAAGTATTTGACCCCTCTGCAAAACATGACTTAGTACTTGGTGGCAAACCCCTTGTTGGCAATCACAGAGGTCAGACGTTTCTTGTAGTTGGCCACCAGGTTTGCACACATCTCAGGAGAGATTTTGTCCCACTCTCAGGAGAGATTTTGTCCCAGATCTTTGCAGATCTTCTCCAAGTCATTAAGGTTTCGAGGCTGACGTTTGGCAACTCGAACCTTCAGCTCCCTCCACAGATTTTCTATGGGATTAAGGTCTGGAGACTGGCTAGGCCACTCCAGGACCTTAATGTGCTTCTTCTTGAGCCACTCCTTTGTTGCCTTGGCCGTGTGTTTACCCATCCACAACCCATTTTCAATGCCATGGCTGAGGGAAGGAGGTTCTCACACAAGATTTGACGGTACATGGCCCCGTCCATCGTCCCTTTGATGCGGTGAAGTTGTCCTGTCCCCTTAGCAGAAAAACACCCCCAAAGCATATGTTTCCACCTCCATGTTTGACGGTGGGGATGGTGTTCTTGGGGTCATAGGCAGCATTCCTCCTCCTCCTAACAGGGCGAGTTGAGTTGATGCCAAAGAGCTCGATTTTGGTCTCATCTGACCACAACACTTTCACCCAGTTCTCCTCTGAATCATTCAGATGTTCATTGGCAAACTTCAGACGGCCCTGTATATGTGCTTTCTTGAGCAGGGGGACCTTGCGGGCACTGCAGGATTTCAGTCCTTCACGGCGTAGTGTGTTACCAATTGTTTTCTTGGTGACTATGGTCCCAGCTGCCTTGAGATCATTGACAAGATCCTCCCGTGTAGTTCTGGGCTGATTCCTCACCGTTCCCATGATCATTGCAACTCCACGAGGTGAGATCTTGCATGGAGCCCCAGGCCGAGGGAGATTGACAGTTCTTTTGTGTTTCTTCCATTTGCGAATAATCGCACCAACTGTTGTCACCTTCTCACCAAGCTGCTTGGCAATTGTCTTGTAGCCCATTCCAGCCTTGTGTAGGTCTACAATCTTGTCCCTGACATCCTTGGAAAGCTCTTTGGTCTTGGCCATGGTGGAGAGTTTGGAATCTGATTGATTGATTGCTTCTGTGGACAGGTGTCTTTTATACAGGTAACAAACTGAGATTAGGAGCACTCTCTTTAAGAGTGTGCTCCTAATCTCAGCTCGTTACTTGTATAAAAGACACCTGGGAGCCAGAAATCTTTCTGATTGAGAGGGGGTCAAATACTTATTTCCCTCATTAAAATGCAAATCAATTTATAACATTTTTGACATGCGTTTTTCTGGATTTTTTTGTTGTTATTCTGTCTCTCACTGTTCAAATAAACCGACCATTAAAATTATAGACTGATCATTTCTTTGTCAGTGGGCAAACGTACAAAATCAGCAGGGGATCAAATACTTTTTTCCCTCACTGTATTTGGGCTGCAATTTCTGAGGCTGGTAACTCTAATGAACGTATCCTCTGCAGCAGAGGTAACTCTGGGTCTTCCTTTCCTGTGGTTGTCTTCATGAGAGCCAGTTTCATCATAGCGCTTGACGGTTTTTGCGACTGCACTTGAAGAAACCTTCAAAGTTCTTGACATTTTCCGTATTGACTGACCTTCATGTCTTAAAGTAATGATGGACTGTTGTTTCTCTTTGCTTATTTGAGCTGTTCTTGCCATAATATGGACTTGGTATTTTACGAAATACGTCTATCTTCTGTATACCCCCCCACCTTGTCACAACACAACTGATTGGCTCAAATGCATTAAGAAGGAATGAAATTCCACTAATTAACGTTTAAGAAGGCACACCTGTTAATTGAAATGCATTCCAGGTGACTACCTCATGAAGCTGGTTGAGAGAATGCCAAGTGTGTGCAAAGCTGTCATCAAAGCAAAGGGTGGCTATTTGAAGAATCTCAAATATAAAATATATTTTGATTTGTTTAATACTTTTTCGGTTACTACATGATTCCATATGTGTTATTTCATAGTTTCGATGTCTTCACTATTATTCAACAATGTAGAAAATAGTAAAAATAAAGAAAAACCCTTGAATGAGTAGGTGTTCTAAAACTTTTGACCGATAGTGTATATGGAAAAATACATGTTTTAGAATTTCAGAACAGACGACTCTGATTTGTTTTAGTCGGGCACAGCCTTAGTTCTCACAGAAGGTGTGTAGGCAGAGCAGGATTTTAGTATTGTTGTAGTGGTTAGGGTGTAGGGCAGGGTTCCCCAACTGGTAGTGATTTTATTTGGCCCCCCAGGTTTTCTGAGAAAAAAATAAGAGTTTTATTTAATTTTATTGTTAGACATAAAATACAAATGTAAGCAAGTTTTGAAATGATTATGTTTTAGTCAAATATTATATCTGTATGGGCTTCTTTCGGTCAATTTGCAGTCTACAAATTATTTGTCATTATATTCCGGTCCCTTAACCATCCGCTCAAGAACAAATCGGCCCGCGGCTGAATTTAGTTGATGATCCCTGTAGCTCAGTTGGTAGAGCATGGGGCTTGCAACGCCAGGGTTGTGGGTTCGTTTCCCACGGGGGGCCAGTATGAAAATGTATGCACTCACTAACTGTAAGTCGCTCTGGATAAGAGCGTCTGCTAAATGACTAAAATGTAAAATGTAGGGTGTATGGTAGGGACTTACTTCTCACAGAAGGTGTGTAGGCAGGGCAGGACTTTAGGGTTGTGGTAGTGGTCCAGACAGATGCTGCAGACCAGGAACTGTTTGTCTATCTGCCGGACCACTGGGCTGGTGCTGCCGGTCTCACGCTTCGCCATGGCGACAGACATTCACAGAGAGAGGGAGCACAAACACCTCTTCACCTGGAGAGAGAGAGATGAGCGGGTGAGAGCACTGAGACACATAAACTGCGTTACGAATTCAGACTCTTTTCCCTGGAGTGTAGCCTTGCTTAATTTTCTTCATAGATTGTTGAAGCATTGGATTGGTGAAAGCATTGGCTAGAGGGAGTTTACACCATTTTTCTTACACAAGTACATTCCCTTTAAATCCATGACAGAGTGAGTGAATTAATAGAGAATCAGAGTGCAACTATGGAGAAAGAGGAGGCCCCACCTGACCAGGAAGGGAGAACAGGATCACTATCAGTTCATGGCTTCACAGCAGGAAGAGGGCGTCATGTCATTGTATAGAATAATGAATTGATGTCCAGAAACAATGACATCATCATCAAGAGACAAAGTAAAGGGTGCTCTCCTAGTTTACCCAACCATATCCCTATAAGCACAGATTATCCATTATATTGACCAGCTACTCAAGTGGCCGCTCTAACAATGAAAATACATTTGCAATATTAAGCTGATCTACCCCCCCCAAAAAACAATATATAGAAAAATATATATATATTTTTAAAAAAGACCAAAAATGAGGCAAGATCAGGTGGGACTATTCTAGCCAATGAGAGGGCATATAGGCGTGTGAACAACGGACACAACGGTTTCCACTAGTTACCACAGCCACAAAGTCAGAATTGGCTCTATCGTAAAAATAAAACATTTGCTTTTTGGTTTTAATTTAAGGGTAGGGTTATGCATAATGTTAGCAGTGTGGTTGGGGTTAGGTTTAAAATCACATTTGAAGAAGATACATTTAGGGTGGGGTTTATTACTTTGTGGCTGTGGTAACTAGTGACGACCAGGCACAACTCCGATATAACACTTTATACTTGATACTGAGTTGCCAAAATGTCACGCGTCCTACTTATATCCGTACACTCGTAACAACCTAATCATTACGAAACGTCTATTCGATCAAATAAGCCACACATAGCAAATAAGCCATTCAATATTTTCGACACCATCTCATTGACCTCCATACAAAAACTCCTCGCTTGGTGAGCGGAAGACCTTTTAAAAAGCCACCTGCTGGAGAAGACAGATTTGGGGCCCAGTTATGCCTCTTCCTCTCTGGTATAACCCAGACGGTCTCTTTGTCTTCCTCTCCACTAACAGACTCCAGCTCCCTCAGGGGGACTGAGGTAATAACTAAGGTAATATTACTGAACTGTTCATCACTTAATGACTGGGGAGACAAATGGATCCATGTGATTACGACTGCAGGGCCAGAGGGCCACAGGGCCACAGGGCTCAGCTCAAAGACAATCTAATTATCCACACCAGCAGCAGTCATACATTCATCCCCCAGTGTGAGCAAATTAACCATTTCACTCAAACTCACAGACATAGAAGTCTGGACTGATGATCGCTGTCACAGAGGTAACAAGAGAACATGGCTGCGTCCAAAATGGTACCCTATTCCCTTCATAGTGCACTACTTTTGATCAGGTCCTATTGCACTATGTAGGGAATATGGTGCCATTTCGGATTCAACCCATTCACTTAATGTTTTGTATTTGTTTCTCTGATTTATATATTACATTTTTACGGTATAGTAAAATTAAAAATCTGTGGTTTTAGTGGGCCTACAGACAGTAATGACGTTGATAGGATATCTGCACATAAAGCCAGAGCTGGCATTACAATGATTTGTATCAGTGGGTCAACTACAGATTAACAGTGCAGAGATGACATGATGATGACCTGCTGTACATCTGTCATATAGAACACAGATTAACCACTACATCCCCAACAACATACTGCCATGAAGTGGTAACTATTAGTGACAACTGTACATAGATATACTGCTCTAACATGGTCAATGCACATTCACTAATCAAGCAGCTGTTTTCTCACAATCTGTAGATACACCATATTATATAACATGTTTTGGGGTGGGCTACTTGATATATGCTGTATGGTCTTTGTCTTCTGAGCGCTCCTGAGACCCAGGCCATAGAGATTTATTATTCTAATTATGAGAGCCACTGAGCCAAGCTAGAGGCCTATTCTGTATTCAGGCAGCCAGGCTGTATTCTCAGAGCAGGGCAGAGCAGGGTAGAGCAGGGCAGAGCAGGGCAGAGCAGGGCAGAGCAGAGCCTGAGCCACAGCCACAGCATGGCCTGGAGCAGATCATTGTGACACCAGCCACATGCCACTCTGAGGCCCTGATATAGACAGGCTTTATTATAGATGCTGCAGAGAGGAGAGAGGAAGGCCTGCTACTATCAGACCAGTGCTACAACACACTGCTACTACTACCCACAGCCCAACCCACATCCCTACCCACAGCTTCTTCAGACCCAGTGCTACAGTACTACTATAACACATATCAGCCCGGTGTTACAGCCCAGTGTTACCACTAGCCACACTCCCACCCCAAGCCCCACACATCCACTCACTAGCTGCAACCTTTCCATAACCTTGACACTTAATTTTAGCGTCATATGTAAAAGCTTGTCTTATTCTTCTAGATTTGTTATATTATTATTCTATATTAGGTTTGGTAATCAATATGTCTTTATGCAGTAGCACTCATAAGCTCTTTGTTAAAGTTCTGTCATCCACAGTTAGGCCCTACTCTCAGACAGCTTTGCACAAAAATATTTGTTCTATTCTACTGTAACATGAAATAGCAAATCTTTTTATGATTCACTACGCTCTTAGATGATATAACCTGTTATGCAGTGTTGATTGTCTGCTCTGCACACTATGAACACAAATACATTTTTGTCAGTAACACCTAGGATTATGTATAGATCATGTTTAAAACAAGCAGGTTGAAATGTCTTTTGAAATGATGTTACAACACTGATATTTGTGTTGCCTACACAAAGATCCCATAGCAGGTATTCATAACCTGCGTCTCAAATGACACCTTATTCCATATACAGTGCACTACATTTGACCAGGCACCATAGAGTGCCATTTGGGACTCAGCATGACTGTGTGATACAACTTGGCAGGTTCCCAGAGCTAGAAAGCAGTATGCCACAAAAGAACACACTGGCCTTAAATCTGTGGGAATTTATCAGGATCAGGCCTGATAAGAGAACAATGTCCACACTGTCTAAAATAACGTATTCACGGAGGGCAGGAAATACTGTCACAACTCTATCCTCTTAACCTTTTACACTCTTAGAAAAAATTGTTATTCAAAGGGTTATCCTATTGGCATAGCCAAATAACCCTTTTAGGTTCTAGATAGAACCTATTTATCTAAGAATGTAACCACAAACAGCCAATTCTGGAGAAAATTTGATGCGTTAGAAAAGGACATATGGTAGCATGTGGTAATATCATGCTACACAGTTTCAGGCCATGCCTGTGAATGACTTAGATAAAAACTAATCCAGGGAATGGAATACAGAATACAGAGACCGGGGGAAACTCCCTGATATGTGAGAAACATCAACCCATAGATATCCTGAATTCAGTAGAGTGGATGATGTCATAGACCTGCATTTTTAGTCATGTTGCTAGGAAGCCAATGTCCACTCTAATGAATTATAGGATCTCTATTCGCTATGCTTCAACCTTGTTTCTCCAGAAATGTCCAGTGACTCACCCTTCACGTCTTCACCACCACAGCCCTGATACAACTAACCCAGAGAATGAATGTGAATACAAGACTGTGTTAGTCCGCTGAGCTAATGCAAGTCTTACCTTAGAGAGAAACGTCCACTCACCTTTCACATCTTCACCACCACCACAGCCTGTAGTGTAGGACTGTAGGCTATCTGTCCCTCAGTCTGGACTCATCTTTCATGTGCTGGGCTCGGCTGAGGCTCGGTCAGTAATCACTCCTCGGAGACGCTTCATTTCAACTGATCTCTCAATCTCCTCTGCTCTGTTCTGTGATGGAGCAGCACACCAGCAGACCGCTCTGCTCACAAACAGACCACAATGGACGCTGGGATTCCCTCCTTCTTTCCCCCCTCTTTCTGTTCTCCCTCTTGGCTGTTGTTTTCTCTCTCCTCTGGTGGTAATTTATTTACCCACCAGACTGTGAGATCAATCACTTGACACAGTAGACACCGTAGACATAGCATAGAGCTCTATTCCCTGTAGCTCTCCAGCCAGTTAGCTCCTCTCTCTGTTGTGTTGTTCTGGTGCTGAAAGAGGAAGGAGAAAAGAGAGGAAGCCTTAAAATGGCACTCCCCAAATTCCTCCCTGGTTCCTTCCCCTCTACTGCCTCCTGCCTTACTCCCAGCTGGCCCAGAGGAGAGCTGAATAACAGTAGCTCTGAGAGGACCACCTGTCTGTCTCTCTCTCTCTGCCTGCCGTTCTATCTGTCTGTCTCGCTCTGCTTCTATACAGAGAGAGAGATAAGAGTAGGGTGAGCTAACCTGCTGTAGCCGCCCTCAGACCAACATGCAGAGCAACCAGAGGCAGCTGTCTTTGCTGCTGAGAGCAGCTCTAACAATGACATTCCTTCTGCTTTCAGTGCTCTCATTCTATCTCTCTCTTTCCCTCTCTTTTCTAAACCACCCCAGCAGCCGAAGCAGTAGCAGTCGGATCTCAGCATCGAGCCTAGCGTAAGACATACTTATTTTGCCTCCCAAATGGCACCCTATTCCATACATAGTGCACTAATGTTGCACTACTTTGTCAAAAGTAGTGCACTATGTAGGGAATAGGGTGCCTTACATTTGGAGCTGTTCTCAGCCAGCAGCAGCAGCAGAAGCAGCAGACTAGGCTATAGGGCCCATTGTTCTTTCCTGCCCAGTGATTACAAGACTCAGTGACTAAGAATCTCAGCAGATCCCCTTCACTCTCCCCCCACACCCCCAGCGCCTCTCTCCCTTCCTCCCTCCTGCTCTCCCTGCCTCCCTCGCACCATAGCCCCCTCCCTCTCTCCCTCTGTAGCCCCTCCCTCTCCCTCTCTTCTCAGCGGCTGAATGGTAGCAGCTGAACAGTGC